GCCACCCCACTTGCTCATTGCTTTAGCTGCCTACATGGGGTTTGCAGACTGCATGGGGTACATCATCTGCTTTGGTACATCTATTCATCATGCTATATCTACTCATACTCTGGTCAGCCACAGAGACAAGCTTCTTCCTCGCAGCCTACCAGAGCATGAGTGTCAGTAAGAGCTGAATTTGCCCTGGTGTAATCTATAGCAGGCAAGGACATGCTGGAGTGCTAGATGAAGGAAGATAATTAGGTGGCATGCATGTATTTAAGATTATTACCCACTCCCTAGAGAACAACCTGCATCTTACTGGGCACTGGCAGCCTTGTACAAAAGATTTTAGGCCATTCTCTATTCCTTGGCCCAGAGCAGAGGTGAGAATATCATCGCCTGTCTGTATGGGATTGGTCCTGAACAGTACAGCCATGTTACTCTAGGAAATCAGTATCCTGTGTGAGGATAACACATCTGCTTTTGTAGTGATAGTGATTGTGTGTTGAAGCCATCAACACAGCTAGGACTCAGTTATTTAGTCTTTTTGGCCAACTGAGTTTGATTGTTCTGCTCCCAGAACTCTTTAAGAAAACAAACGATTTCTGCATCCCATAGTACCCGCATCCTAGGGTTTATTCCATTAACTGCAGGGACTGCATATTCTGGTTAAAATAATCTGCCTCTGGAAAACAGAGCAGTTGACCCTGCTTGTTCTGCACAGAAAGACGCCAATTAATTCTCTACTCAAGTAAAAATTTAACAAAGGCTTGAATGTTCCTATGCCTGTTGCTCTGCAAGATTGTTTATCAATTTACAGGGAGGCCACGCTGCCTTTTCAAAGTGCTGCTGGAGGGCTGCCAGCAGAAGTAATAGAGACTGCACTCATTGTTTAAATGCTACTGGATGTGGGAATGGCAGACTGATGCCTGTTTTCCTTTCATTTTATGATGATCTAATTGCAAGAGATATATAATTCCTTGTTATGTCAGGGAAGTTGTTTCTCCAGCATCTGGTACTTCTCTGATTATCTACAAATGGTATCTGAAAATTAATAGGAGATCCAACTATTATGTAAGAAATACTACTGGGAACTGCTGCCTGCACCAAGCCCAAGGAGATTTCAGTCTGCAAGAACTGGCTTTGTCAGTGAACATATAATTTCCTTTTTTTTCTTTTTTTTTTTTTTTTTTTTCTTTTTTTTTAATATCCAAGTAAATTACAGGCTTTGGTTATGATTTGAAGAAATGCGTTCTCCAAATGTTGTAGCATCTGTATGCTGCTGTTTTTACTGCAGCTGTTGTACAGGTCATTAATCTGATCCCACATCATAAAAATTTCTCCACCCTCTTCATGAGTTTCTTTCTTATCATAACACTTGGTGCCTAACTCTGCTATATTCCCTTATAATTACTTGGGATAGAACAACTGCTTTTTTATCCTCAATGCACTTGGCTCCTGTGGTGGTGCTGCTGAGCACCACACGTGCCCCATCTCTGCAAATCCAGGAGCTCTGAAGGGCTGGGCCCGGTGGCTGGGGAGACATGTGGCCAACAGACCGTCCTCTCTCATCCTCATCAGCTGCTCACCAGGACAAGCTCTTGGCACGAGCCTGAAGAGGAGAAATGGCAGCCACTCCTGCATCTGGTACTTGGTTTTCACGTCTCTAATCACTGTCAAACACCTCTGCACAACAGTTGTTGCCACGCTTGCTGTGCAAGGGGAATGGCTGAGCAAACCCCTCCTAAGCAAGGTAAGAGGAGCCAGCAGGTTTGCCTGGGCTGTGTGGCAGGTCTGTACAAGGCATAATGTGGACAGTCTAGCTGTTGCAAAGTTTATGTAACGTGAGAACTGCTGGGAAAACAAAGGGACTTGGAAAGAACAGTTTTTGGGAACTTACCTGAGCATGGGTGTGAGGGACTGAAAGAAATTCACTGGCTCAGAACAATTCTCTGTGTGGGGGGAGGAGGCAGATTGGGTTCTGCCAAGGCGGAATGGTGCTGTGCCCCCCCATAACCCTGCCTCCTTGAGAGCCTTTGGCACAGCTGTCAGTCACTGGCACACCAGGAGCATCGCCCCATACCCTGCCCTGGAGCCCCAATCCAGCCCCAGAGTGGCTAGTGGGCCAGAGGTCCCACCTGAAGGGGGTGGCCACAGAGGGCCAGAGCAAAGAATACCAACACCATGAAGTGGTCATGACCCTACCATCAGGACATATGGAACCTGAAAACTACACAGGACCCAAGGCAGTAGTTATAATTTTCTCTTTTCCTCTCTCTTTCTTTACTTCTTCTAATCTCCTTTCTTGATATTTGGGTAACTTAAGGCTGGATGGGCTGGATTTTGCTAAGCTGTATGGGTTAGCATGTGCTAAGTCAATGTTTTGTGAAATGATTTGTTTGAATGCTGCCCTTAAATTTTTGCCAAATTCCTTTATTTTCTAAAGTTTGCCAATAAAAGCGTGTTATTTGACCTCTTGAGAAATGTGTGTAGTGTCTACTCCTGCACTCTCTCTCAAGGTATAAAAAGAACTGAAGGCCCTTTTAATAAATCCAGCAGGTGGATTTTTGGAGCCTTGTATATTTTTAATGTAAAACCCCTTTGATGAGCTCATAGAGCGAGTGTGGGCTGTTAAAATGGGTCCCAAAAGGTGTCCAGGAAGGAAGAGCACATGGGAGCATGTCAAGGGCATGGTCAGTACCTGGTGCATTTGAAGGGTTTAGTCTGAAGTAATGATCTCCACAAAAAACGAGGTAAATTCCACCAGCTTTTTGTAACTCGCAAGAGGATAATGCTTAAGGTTTGCTGCCCACTGGACAAATGCCCTTTCAAGGGTACATGGCAGGCAGGAGGAGGGGGATCTGGTTACCTCTGGGAAAAGGACCTGAGACTTTAAGCCAGGCATTTTCTAAGGAGGGGATGTGGTTCGTCTCTGGGGTACATTCTGACTCGTGTTGATGATATGCTTTCCTCCATTTTTCCAAGACAGCAGCTTCCTTTAGCCCATAAGCTCAGGGAACTCACAAGGTGGCTTTGCTCTGCAGATTGAATCTCAGACAGGGCTGGCTGATGCCACCCCAGCCCATCACAGTTTACTTGCTTAGCTGTATTGTCTAAGTCTTGGCTGATCAACGCCATTTTCCAAGAAAACCAGTAACCAGATGTTTTTCAAGCAGAGAGCCATGGCAAGGTTGAGGCACACTAAGCCAGAAGCACCGTCCCTTGCCAGTGCCACGGCACTTAGCAGTGCAACATCTTTAGGAGTCTCCATTTTCCATAACTATAAGCTGAAAGAGAAATGTATGGCACTTAATATTTGCAAAACACAGATGCTGGGCGGCTTGAAAACTTATGTCTAACCACACTGGGATCTGTGTTAGGAACTTGGTGTTTGAACCAGAGATACTTGACTGACAGCAAAAGCAAATGGTGCTGTTCTCTTCCATGGGTCTGAGGACAACAGGGTGTAAGAAGCAAAGTCCATGTTAAGGTTATTATGTGTTTGTGGCCAGAAAGTTTTGGAAATGGACTTATCACTTATCCCTGTTCCTACCATCTCCACTTTCTCCACACTTCTTAAAGTTGACATGAGTGCTCACTTTTAGCTCTTGGCAAATTGAGGAATCAGACATCTTGACAGTTGCTTGAATTTGGGCTTCAGCCTGAAGATAAAATGCAATTTTACATGAATTTAAGTCGAACTAAGACCCCACTTGAACCATATGGGGGAATCTCTTCCTTCAGACAGAGCTGCATTGCTTGCCTAGAAAATAGCAATTTTCCCTCTTTTTTTTCACTCTGGGCAAACCCATGACACACTCCCAAATAGAGACAGGTCAGATGAACTCAAGAGATCTGGCTGACCTTTGGTATACAAGAAGATGGTGCCAAGCCAAAGGTAGAAGTGTGTGGCTGGAAAAGAGATTGGTGTTAGGTTGCGTGGTTTTAGGTGAACTTCAGGTGAAGCTGTCAGACTGCACTGCAGAAGGCAACAGATGTTTGTTGTAGTCTCTGCAAGGAAGGAAAAAATTAACTGTAGTTTCTGCTTTTCCCTCTGCTCCATAAATAATGTTCCTGTGCCTAAAGGTATGGCTATGAGATGATTACGCTTGGCTGGATAGAAAAGTGGGTGCAAAGATATGCCAAACAGAAGGGGCTATTACACCAGGTCAGTGCAGAAGCTTGTACCTCTGCACTCCCTGACTTACAGTTTAAGACACGTCCCTGGGCTTGGGGACCAAGCAACGGCTTGCCAGAGATTATCTGATACAGAAATCCTCCCATCACTTCTCCTGCAGAGGGGTCTGGGGAGCTGTACTCATCCCATGCAGTCAACTAAGCTCTTCAGTTTTTTGTAGGACTCAAGCCAAAAGGTGTTTTTGTGGGTGGTCACTACAACCTGAGCACTAGTAAAATTTGTGACCAAAGGCAAAAAAGTTAGCAATTCCCAGAACCTTTAAAACTCTGACAGAGACACTTTGGTAGATATATCTGGGAATGCTTAAGACATTGGGTCTTTGGGAATCTCCTCATACATCTGCTAATGGCTTCTGCTTCCATAGCAGACAGAGAAAAGTCTGGCAAAGGCTTAGTCACTCCAGGTACCAGTTTGACATCTGTACTCAAACCCAACTCTGACAGCAGCCCTTGAAATTAAACTGCCTGACTTGACCCTGAAACAGACTGGCAAGCACTTGCACAGTCTTCAAAGAACAGGCAGAAACAAGTACTGTCTTTTAGGAATGCTGTCATCTTCCGCAACCCCAGACTGCTGTGACCATATGCCCCAGCTTCAGGTCCCTCTAAAACTGTATCAGAAGCTTCACTTTAATGCTCCACAGATGTCTATTGATATTGTGCTGCATATACTGCACTGAATCTAATATAGCTGGCTTTGCAAGAGCTGCATGCCCTAAATTCAGTGAAAATACTTGCATAAAGAGCAGGGAGCATATGCTATTCAAATCATTAAAATGATACACAGGCATTCCTTTGAAAGAATGAGTATGGTCCTAACATTAGTTTAGATCACAATTTTAATGTTTAAAAACTATAGAGTTAACAGATAGATTACAGAACTCAATACATTTTTTTTTTATTTACACACAGAAATTGAAAAACTGTGTTGTTTATTTGGATATGAGCAGCACAAAGTTAACAGGTGATGTTAACAGGAGCAAAATATTACCAATGACTCACTTCAACAATCTATTACAGGCGAGCTTGTATCAAGCATGTATCATTCAAACACCGTTGTTTATACTGGATCTGGGTGAGCCATAACATATATTGGGACACTAAAAACAGGTTTCTATAAACAAGTTTAAGTTCAAGTCTTGTGGAAAAATACCTTTACAGTTTATATTTTGTTGGCTATAACATTGAAAATAAAATGTACACTTGTATTAACTTGAAAAGCTCTCTTGAACTGACTGTATATAGGTTTTTTCCCTCAGTTTGTGCTCATGGTGAAAGCAAATGTTATTTCAAGTTTCATTTTCATCCAAGCTCACAAAGTAAACATGGAAAAAAAATACAATTATTTTTAGATGCATTTCCTTAACCTCCATTTTTCAGCAATCCTGAAAAAAACATGTTTTCATGCTTTACCAGTGAGAAAGTCTATACAAGGCCTTTGATGAAGGCACTCTCGGGACATACACAGCTCTTCCCTCCCATCGCCCTCACCCCTGGACACGCAGCTATCCCATGACCAAAATACTGGCCTCTGCCTGTTCACAGGGTGGGATGTGCAAGCAGTCTCTGGCTGGGGATGTTCTTGGCATCCTCAGGCATTAGTGTTTTGGTTGCATGAGAGCAGCAGGGTCTGTGGCGGAGGAGCAGCCACAGGACTCTGCAGGAAGGGCGGGGGGCTAGAAATGGCACCAATTGCTCTGGTTGCTGCCCACCCCTTGCTTGCAGTACTTTTTTTTTCTGAAGAACAGGCATTTCTGGTAGCTGAAAATGGAAATACAGAAGTTTTGCCCTGACCTGTTTGGCCTAGTTGGGTAAATATATGCCTGGATGCAACATGGCATAACGCTGGGTCAAATTGCTGGTTGCAGTTTGCCATGGTTTCTGCATAAAGCCTTTTCAACACTTTACTACACCTGACCTCAGCCTGGGATGTAAGAGGTACCTGCATACCAAAGGGGCCCTTTACAAGGGAGATGTTTTACTCAACAGGAAGACTGACAAACTTGCTCTTGAGAAAACAGGGAGTCGTGCACTGGAATTAATTCTAGCAATTTCATTCGACCTTTTATTTTTCTTTTTCTCGTCACATTAGTGATGCAATTGTAATTTCAAGTTTAGTATTTAACTTGTGAACTCTTGGGAGAAAGAAAAGGATATGCATTTTGCTAAGAAGCTAAAGTATCTGTATTTCTATTTAAATTACTCTTAATATGCAGAGTCTATCTCAACACTTCTATATCATAGGGGAAAAACAACTGCAAAAATATACAGCATCCTATTTATTTACAATATATATGTACATTAAACTGAAATTTCCTACAATACAACACAACTGCATAGATTTGTTTTGAGAAACATAGGCATGTGTACAATTTGTGAATTCTAGACCTTTCCAGCCCTGTACTTTTTATTAATTCATTATCTTTTTTTTTTTCTTTTCACAGTTTGTTACAGAAATCCTTACATTAGATACAAATAAAACATTCTTTGTGTACGTTATAGGAAATAAGGATTTTCCAGCGCCAAGGGCTCTGGGGACTTGTTTAGGAAAGCCCCCTGGCGCCAGTTGATAAAGCCATCTCTAGGAGCTGCTGATGGAGCTGAGTACATTCTGTGGTGCCTTTCTCCTGCAGGCACTGGGGTGGGACAGTAGGACTGGACGTGGGACACCACCACATGGAAAGAGTTTTGTTTTGACCGAGATGCTCTTTAGCCTTAATGTAAGGTTCAAGCAAAGAAACCTTTTAATTTAAAGATGAGCTAGAGATACCATTATTTGTTACTCTTAATACTCAATATCAGAGCTGTGTTGCGCTTATGCATTGTAAGGCAGATGTACCGACACAACCCACGGATTATCCAGCCCACACTTGCACATGTGGCCTAGTGCAAGTGGAGCACAGGTTCGAATGTGCCTCAGAAGAGCAGCCCTCAGGAGCAGATGAGCATCCCCATCCCTGACTTCACAGGATGAGAGCAGCTGTTCTGCTCTAGGCCTGCACATGGGCCAGGCACTACTTGGTCCATGTCAGCTCTACAAAAGGTCTGTGCTGGTGCACGGATTTGGCATTGGCCCTTCGACCAGGAGCAAGCATCACCCAGAGAGGTCACTGCTCCTGAGATACTGTTCCCAAATAACAATTTATTGTGTTTCACTTACTAGGCATGTGTGCCATGGGACAGAGAAGGGCAGCTGTATTATGGTTGCTTTAAGCCCATGACTATTTTCTTTGCGATGTGCTGTGGACTAGGAGAGGCAGCAAGGTCATCTTTTAAGTGTAGGATTAACTCTTACAGTCTCATTAGTAGTCCCTGCTTCTGATTAGTCTTTCCTTGTCCCTTACCACTCGATTGTTGCGATTATGCAAATGAGAATTTTAAAGTCTTTTTGTTGCAGTTATTAGGAGCAATTCTGCATCCAGTCTATGACATTTGCAGTGCTCACAATAGTGATAAACTCTCTATGAAAAGAAAGCATGCTACTCCCTACTAAGTAGATATGGTACTCTGGATCCTATTAATTTAACAACAGAGAAACTCGTATAGCATTTCACTGTGCTTTTAAAATCTTAGCTAAAATGTGGGACTCATACAATCATTGGCTACAGGTTCACTATTCCAAATGAACTGAATAACAGCAGTACATTTTACAGATAACCTCAAACAAATATTGTCATCCATCACTGATGTTGACAGTTACAGCAGGGTCTATTGCATTCTGTTAAGAATGTATAAACCTGATGAGAAAACAAAAAGCACGTTATTTCACGTTCATTACCACAGACATCAATAAACACATGATTCCTTTCCATAAATATCTATAAATATGATGCCAGCAAATCAGTCTAAGCAATATTCCCCCCCTTTTTTTCTTTCTCTTTTTTTTTTTTTTTTTTTTTTTTGTTTTGTTTTGTTTTGGTTGTTTTTTTGTGTTTTTTGTTTGGTTGGTTTGGTTTTTCCTAGTTAAGAGACCCAGAAACAAAGTCTGTTTAAAGACTTAATATTTTGGGTATCTATTTTTCAGTATCTAAGATATGCTTTGGTGGTCCTGTACCTTGGGTAATTTCACTCTATGCACATTCAGCTCATTCTCCCTATTTATTCACTAAAACTCCAGTATACAAATAATTGGGAAAAAGGAGAAGGAAGAACAGCAAAGAGGAGAGAAAGCCATAGTGATGGAAGAGTTTTAGGAAGATACAAGGAGCAATCAGTGACCCAACAGCCCTTCCAGTCGAAGGATGTTGGATGCCAAAACTCAGTGGTTGGTATTTCAAATAGAAGACTACAGGAGGGAGGGAGATGTCACAGAGGAGACCTCGTTGGAACCCCGTGCAGCAGATCAGACCTCTAGCTCATACCTGGGTACTTGAAAGTTGTTCCCAGGATCTCCTCTCTCATAACCCCTGATGCACAGAGCGATGCATTAATCAGTAGCGGAAGGATAAAGCGGGGAGGAAAGCAGGAGAACCCTGGAGCATCTTAAGGATAACACTGTACAGCATCCTCAGGTCTGAGTTAGGTTTTTTAGTATAAGATCCAGAGAGATTATAAGGCACCTCAAAACCTGAAATGTGACCTCAGCAAGCTGAGTCAGAGAAAGGAGTGAGATGCTGGGCTCCAGCTGCAGTGACCACTGAGGGCTGGGTGCCTGCAAAAGAGGAACCACAAACTTACAGCCAAGATGGTGAATGAGGTGCAAAGAGACAGGAACAAAGCATAGGTTCTTCTCCCCAGAGCTTGCCTAACACCTGGTCTTGTAGGCTATGGTATGGACTTCTTTGTGAATAAGGGCAGGGATCAGTCCCATAAAGAGATGGCACAGAGACAGCTGGTAACCTGCACCATCACAGGCAAGGGTCTGAGACCAGCCAAAGGAAAGCACAAGGGACATTAGCCCAGTGGTCCCAGGTATCTCAGCAGTTCATGTGTTAAAGGCTGGGCTAGGGGGTCCTTGGGAGAAAGGATGCCACACTGGAGATCTTGCTGGGAGCCTGTGAGTGAAGGTCTCAGGGACCAGAAGGAAGGCAGAATAAAGGAACCCTGCACTGCATTCTAGCAGGTCACTTTGCCTGAAGGGAGAAGGCTTCCAGTTTTGTTCTTGCTGCTGGGCTACTCCAAGGACTTGGGCAGCCTGTGGAGTGCACTCTGCCTTATTTCTGGATCACAGTGGAATATCATCAGAGGCAGGCACCTCACTGCCTGGGCTGAGGTACAGATCTGGAAGTCTGGGCTTAGTAGGCTTAGTCTCTGTAGCATGAACACTCTGCAGATCCATGCCCAAATTCTAAGGAAGGCCCCAAAGTAACCTCTCTGGATATTATCCTTAGAAACCAACTTTCAAGGTCCTGAGATGCGCTCTGTGGTCCCAACTCTCAGTGACTTCAAGCCAAGGCAACTGAGGCAATTCAGTAACTCACAGAGGTCCCAAGACCCCGAATACTCCATCCCTACCCTTAAAAAGAGCAAGTTGCAATGATAGGTTCCTCACAGCTGATGACAGTATGCTTCCACAGTTACAGTGGGAGTTGTCAATGAACCAGCTACTGGGAACAAGAGGGTTACTACATACTGAGAGATATGGCTTGAGCATACTGAGGGCATCACTCAGCCCTGGGGCTTGCCTGGGGCTCCCTTTAGCCATCAGTGCTTTCAGTGGGAGCCACATTCATATTCTGAGACACTTTTTGGCTCGCATGGTGAATGACACAAAGTGCACACATTTCTGCTGGCAGTGCAGTAATAGAAGATGTCTGCTCAGGGTGGTGAACAATCACCTGCTTAGCATTTAAGTCTCTACAAGTAGTTCTCTACACCAGCTATAAGGCATTAGGCAAATGCTTATTCTGTGGACAACAGATGCAAGTTACAGTGTTTCTGCTAGTAGTAACTGAATGTCTTTTAACTGTAATGGAGAACTGATGAAAAATGTAAATGAAACCTTTTAAATATAAAAAGTATTTCTTTTTAAAGTTCATTTAAAGAAATGTTACAGATTTCAATTTCCACTAGAGAGTGAGTCCAATCCTGCTCCCACTGCTGTCAAAGACCCTGCTAACTTCAGTAGGAGGAGGGTAAGGTATGAACAAATGAAACTTAGAATGGAAAAGGCATGAGGTATGATTAAATGTGTAGGTTTTAATAAAATTGGAGTTTGGTATCTTTTTTTCTGAGAGGAGTGGGGCATTACTGAACAGTTTAATGCTGAAGAAAATGCAGACTTCCCATGGAAATTTCAGAACGTCTGCTTCTCTTCAGGCTCAAGTACTCGTGGTTTGAGGTCAAGTCTAGTTCTTGGCAGCCTCCAACTGAAGTGTGTCAGGGGAACGGTGGCTCGTGGTGGTGGCCATCCTTCTCTTGCTCCTTGCAGCCCATCGCAAAGACACACATAGTCTGTTCCCAAAAGCCATGAACAGGCCACTGACTCCCCCGCCAGAATATCAGAGAGAAGCACCAGATTTAGGACCTACACTTATACAGCACTCAGTTATGTTCTCGTGGTGCTTTTCATGCCTGTATCCACAATGCTACACTTAACCCAGTGAGGCAAATGGTGCCTGCAACTGCAACAGAAGAAACAAACAAACTAACAAACCAGATGTGTACAATTCAAGAGCAGAGTTTTGGCTAAAAGAGGGAGGGAAGGGTGTGAACGGACATCACTCTAGGCGGAATTGATAGCAACAGGTGCTGCTGCCCTAAAGGAGCAGAACTTGTGGCTGAAAGGCTAAGGACAACAATGAAGCAATGCAGTTCATGGGTGGAAGAGGGGAAACTAATTGTGATGAATTCCTATAAGCAATGCTCTATATAGTCTCACGGACAATTAACAGAGACTTATCGCTGATCTGATAACTCAGTATTGGGGACCAGAGTGATATGTCTGTTGGAAAAATGGGTCTGTTTTCTTCAAGAAAATACACCCATAACAGTAATTTCAGTACTGGATAGTAATTATTTGGATTTGACTAGAGTAAACTCACAAAAGATGGAATAGATAACAGAACGGATGGTTGCAATTTTGGTGTATAGCAAACAGGGGTGTCTTCTCTTCAGAAGGGGGTGAACTTCAGTGGCCTTCAGCACTGCCTCCCGATTGTACCCAGTCATAGATGACCAAGGGAATGCTCACTAGGGAAAACATTATACCCAGTACCAAGAAAAGAGAAGCCTGAAACAAAAAAAGGAGAGAAAATTAATGCATAAAAAGACAATTAATTCAAGTATGTTAACTTCTCTTAAGGAGATTTACAAGGTGATGTATCAAAGTTATCAACTAAAATGAAAAAGCACTTCTGGCAAAGACAAGACCCATAGATAATTAAACAGATTAGCATCATTAATAATTACTTGCTGAGCATCAAACCAATTTTTTTTCTTCTTTCAATTCACTTCCTAAACACCGATCATCCCTAAAGAGGATTAAGTGAGTCTGTTTTTAGGACCGATCAGCTCTGCTCTTTCCAAAGCCTCAAGGAAATCAGTATATTCTTCCCAGTGGATATGTGTTCATCAAAGTTCAACCCTTTTGTCATGGGATCTGTGGATGTAGCCACAAGTGAAACACATGTTTCCTGCCTGTCTGCTCAGAAAAGGAAGGTCTGACCTTACAATGCTTCCAGTGCATGCCCCATTAGGCTGGGAATACACAGTGTTGCATCTTTTCAGCTCTTTCTGGGGCTCCTAGGAAATCTTTCCAAGGCCCATTTCCATCTCCTCATGCATGCCAAAGGGCTAACATAACATTTCAGCTGGCTGCTTCTGGTGGAGCCACCTTAAGTCTGACTCTGGTCCACGAAAACTGTGAGGAATACCACAAATGGAGCACTTTGCACACTTTCTGTATCAACTCATGGAAACAGAGAGAGCTTTCTGGACTGAAAGGTTTGCTGAGGTGGCTGGAGGAATTCCTGCACCCTGCTGACAGCTACTGCTGCTTGCAAGCCAGGGGAGTCCCTCACCCCGCAGAGAAGGGTCCCCCAAAATATGAGATGCTGTGCATGATATGGCCCCTCCAGTAGGAGACCCCCAGGGTAAGCCAAGGAGAAGGGCGAGCACAGCTGCCAGCTGACTGAAGCACAGAGGGGAAAGTACTTAAAGAAGCTCACAGCTATGTTCAGATTAGATGTGCTTTGCACCTTGCACATTATAAAGAATGACAAGACGAAAATGTTGCATTGATGGGAATGGAATGCCTACCCAAATCCTCTGAGTCAACTTTGATCCATCCTGCTGTGTAATTTTTAAATACAACGACGAAGGAAGAATGAAAATCAGCATATTGGCAGAAGTGACCCCTGCAAAATTCAAATAAATGAGTTTTGTTAACTGCCAGCAACAGCTAATTATTGTGTTGCTGATTAGCAACTGTCTTTTAGTAGTAGTACAAAACCAAGATACTGTACCTACAACTCCAAAAATATCCTTCATGGATGGGATAAAAATGACTAACAGGTTGATGATAACCAAAAGAACAAAAGTAACCAAAACATGATGGCCTAAGTCAAATTTTGTCTTTCTGGCCATCTCAAATAACGATGAACGCACCTGTAGGGAGAGAGAAAGAAATTTCTCTGTCAAGAATAGCCTATGAGTCAATTCAAAGCTTCCCATGTTTATCTGAACTGTTTCTTCATGTGACAAGTGCTGCATAGATCTGTCATAAATTTTAGATTGTCTCATGTAACGTCCTTTGAAATAATCCTTAAAAATAATTTGTTATTTCAGAACTGTAGGTACACACGCATGTGCAGTAGGATATTCCTCTCTAATGTATCTTTTGAAATCCTTCTGCACTTAAAAATGAATTTCACCTCTGAGCCTGCTCCAATAAAGTGATGTGAAGGAAGAGAGAACCCTTGTGGATTCAATTTAAAATTTCCTGGATGAAGAACTTCTCCATGCAGGAAAGTTATTGGGAGTCTGGTGTGCGAAAAACTGATCCAAGCTCAAGTTCTTTTAGTAGCTGCAACATTATGGTCTCAGCAACTGCTAGACTGTGGTTTGAAGAAATGTGCTGTGTACAGCTCTTACCAACTTCCCAACTGTGCAGGAAGTTTTACTTACAGTGAAAAACAGGACCGGCACAGTGAGTATCACCGCCACAATCACAGCCAAGCGCACGGTCAGGATCAGGATGTCATCTTTGCTCTGGTATTTGTGAAGCAGATCTGACTGCACACTCTCTATGGAAAAGACAGTAAGGTAAGTGTTCTGGTAAACAGGCAATTAGTTCACAAAAATCATTGTTTAACAACAGCCTTCTTGAACAACAAGTGATTTATCTGTAAACAAAAGAGTATGGAATGAAACATTCTTGAGTTAAAACAGCGCTTTGAACAAAATTTCAATGATCCCATTATTCCAGATTAATCCTTTGGAGGCCTGATTTAGGAATGCATCTTAATTCAAGACAGCACGTGCCTAAGTCTAAGGTAATTTTCACTGTAGGAAAGACAACAGTGAGACATACACGAAAACTTGCTTACATATATACATAGATACAAAAATAGGTAAAGTGAAATAAGCTATTTTTAATTAGTTCCATGGACTTTTTTTTTGCGTTTCAAATGATATAAAAATAAACACATGCACTGCAATGGCTGAACTTAATATAAACTGCAAGGTTTTGAACTAAATTAGTCTTAACAGCAAATAAACTACCAGTGAAAAGCAGTGCCCCTGTTCTCAATCGAGAACAAAGCCTATCTTGGGTCAGCTCTCAGTGGGACACTGACATTTGCATTGAAATCCCTCAGCAGCTCCTCTGAGGGCTGCCAGCAGTGCCTGCAGCTCAGCTCCACGCCAGCCGGCGGCCCCAGCAGCCAAGACAAATCACAGGGGGTGCCTAATGGGGAGGCACTGGCAGTATTTTAATACGACCTCCTGCCAAAATGTTTCCTTGAAGCTGTGATAAATAGTGCAGAGCAGGTCTGCGTGTACTAACCAAGAGGAAAACCAAGTTGCTGAGGGATCTACATGTTTGCTTTGTAAGTTTTAAATATCCTTGAGCAATAACTTAAGGCGGGGGCTGTTAAGCATGACACAAAACATACTTGCTGCCCCTTTTTAGGCTTATGTTTTGTTTCTGCCTGCTAATCTTAGAAAGCTGGTGGTAAAACATAACAGTTCTTAAAGGGAACTCGATGGCCATGTCTGATTTACCATGTTTGGCACTTGGTAAAACCTCACGTATTCCTGGAGGCAGAGGGATCTATCCTGTGGCAAAATGCCTACACTCCCCCCAGGGCACCTTTCTGGGTAGAGACCACAGGTCAACACCACCTACGCAGTGCTTGAATCCCCACCAGGAGAAAGAAAATGCTCTCCCACCTCCCTGCAGATCAGGAGTGGGGTTTTCAAGCCGGGCACATGCACAGCTTCTGCGACACAGAGCTTACTCTGCTCCTGCAAGCACAGACTGCAACTTCTGTACCGCTCACGGGCTGCAGCCAGGTAGGAAGTGAAGGGCAAGGCTTACAGTTGAAGGTCTGTTTTCCTTTCAGCTAGATACACCACAGAGCCCAACCACACTGTGACCTTTTAGGGGAAGAAAAACACCTCTTTTCTGTAATTCTGCAATGTAAATATAGTCATCACTGCAACACTTTTGAGAACACAGCAAACAGACAAGTACTATTGGTGCAAAGAAGAAATGGTCACAATAAAAATACTGTTCTTACCCAGGTAAGGGTAGAGAAGAGGGTTAGAACACTGTAACTGAACATATGAAATGTAAGGTCTTGTCAGTCTCAAGGGGAAGAACGATCCAAGTGGAGGAATTTTATATTCCCTCAATGTCTTTTTTTGCTGCCTGTCACAGCACTGACACTTGCAGAAGCCCCAGCAGAGCTGCACAGCTTCTGTCTGTGGGCTCAGTGCTGGGGAGCCTGATGTGGGAAGACGCACACAAGACACCCCAGGGATTCCTCCACCATTCCCCCTCAGGAGGGCCAGAAGGACGCAGCCCCTACCTCCTCCATGGACTCCAGACCCTCGTCCTTGAGGGATGTGGGAGATTCCCAGAGAGGAGCGCCACGGATCTGCCTCCTCAGATCCCTGGGGCAATCACATCAGAATCTCTTCCCTGCCAAAGTGAAGGGGTCCATGCTGATTTACACCCATTTGCTCCCTGGGGCAGCTAATTTGATGCATCTCTAGGAAGATGTATTAGATGGGAGCAGTTGGATGAGAACAGCTGATGCTGTTGTCACTTGCAGCCTATTTGTGATTTTATTGGGAAAATTAGAACAGATGACCTCAAGTTACTTCAATACATGTATACTCAAGGCCTTAGAATGAGAGTCTGGGAAAACAAATATGAGATAGGTAAACCTTTGAAGGAAAAAAATGCCACATTTCATATTTAGTTATTTTCTTTCTCTTGCAACTGGTGGCTTACAAGGGACAGTATCATAAATGAAGAGGCTGTAACAAAAAGGTCACTTGGAATAGGGTGGAGAAGACTGATGGTGACTCTGAAGTAAAAGGCAAACATCAGCTTTGCCACCTGTCTTGTAACCCCTTAATGGTCCATGGAAAAAGAGACTGCTTTTCAACATTCTCATTATATTGGAACATGGGAAGAGCTTCCTGGGCAACATTCATATTTTATCCTACTCTACTTAACAATTGTGCCTTTAGGGCATACATATTGTATCCTTTAGTGATACAATATAATTTGTTAAGAGAATTGATATGCATGAAAAGAGACAGGGTGCAAGTCTCAAACACTGAAATAACCATCCTTTGGTAGCTGAGCTGGGACAATACTCAAAGCTTCCCCGCTGCCAGTTTGTTTAACCAAGACCTAAAGAGGTCAGCTCTAGGGACACAGGGAAAACATTTGGTCTGTTGTCTCTATGATGAAAGTGTCAATAAAAAAGTGAAAAGGCTGTGATGGCCTATTTGTTACTCACTTCCTAGGACCTGCTCTCAAATCTGTCTAATTTTTTGCAAATATACATGCTCCAGTCATTACCAATACACACGTCATTCAGGTGAGGACCTTGGAACAAAATCTTAGTGGGCCCCAGCTAACCCCCAATTCTGTTAAATAAATCTCTCCCCCATATTTTGAATACGCCTTTTGCAAATAATACTTTCAACTTGTGCTTTTCATCCAAAGGGGAAAAGGAAGAAAGGACTTATGCCTTCAATATGAAAAGTTTAAGGAAAATTATTTGGAATAGTATTTTAATATAAGTGGATGGGACTTTCCTTCCAGCTGGGATACACTATTGATTTAACATGTATCCCCTTTCAACTCTGATCAATAAAGAGCTGAATACTTACCATAGAAAGTCAAATAGCCAAATATGGCAGTCATAAAGTACATCAGAAACATGGCAAAAAATGAGATATTTGAAACCAACTGCATTTTTTTCTGTGAACGGCTGGAGAAAGAACAGAAAAAGAACACATAAAAATGATTGGGCTGGATTTTTCAATAGCTGTTTCAAAATGTTTTATTTAAGTCTTTGCATAAGCACAGTAATTCTGGGGAGACTCACAAATGCATTTTCATTTAAAACAAGAATTAATTGACAGCTACACAAGGAAGAAAAGGACTGGGGAAAAGGACCCTAACTTGGGGCTTAAGTCAAAAAACGGTGGGTCCGACCTATGGCTCTGCTCCATGGCCATACCTGTTTAAACAGAGTGAAGCCCTGTGGAGAGAGGACAGCCCTAAAATACTTCAGTAATTAAATTAAAAGGTCAAAATGAGAGAAGCATAAAAGTACACAGAGAGGAAAAAAACACAGAAACACTCTGAATGACTGCAGAGGAACATTTGTGTTCCCATGGGTAGAAAATACTGGATATATGCAGACCTATAAAATAGGTAAAGTGTAAACATTTCATCTTTAGATATTTGTTCTAAAATATTTACACTCCAGTACCTAAACTTAGACTTTTAAATCCACACAAGGATGCCCTAAATAGGCACCTGTGAACCTGCTAAAGTCACTTGAAATTTAAAGCAACCAGCTGGGGCCTGAGGGCATTCAGGGGTATGCCTGGCTGATCTCTCCCCTGGGCTCCCCAACAGCCCAGGACCCCACTGTAGCTGCCCAGGGCTGCCAGTAATGTCCCAGCAGGACTGGTCTCCAGCTCCCCACAGCCCTTCCCAGCCAGAAGTGTCAGTGAGACAGCAGTACCAGCAAAGCTCTTTTAATATCACCGAGGCTGAAAGTACTTTTATTTTCCTGGTACTGCAACACATTTTTAGTTGCACTGGAACAAACACCATTAGTGGAACACACGCCTCTGCTATGCCAAATAATGACCAGCACATCTTGGCTCTCCCCAGGCAGCTGTGTACTTCCAGAGAAAACTCCCAAGTATTGCATTATTCTCCACTTCCCTTGCCCCCACCCCAGCAGCACGGCACGCCTGGGAGGCCAGATTTCCTAGCTGACAGCCATGCTCACCGGCTTGTTGGGTGTTGTTAAAGCACATCTCTGAGTGGCACGAATGACTCAGAGCACCTCTGTGCTAACATTTTCCGTGTAAAATGGTTCAAAACAATTAACAGGGAAAAAAACAAAAAAAAAGAAAGAGAAAGGCTTACTCTTTAAGTTCGCTGTAAATCGGGAGGACTGACGGGTGGCACACAAATGCAAAAGCAATGGTGGGCAAAGCGTACACAGTCTGTTCAGAGAGAATTTCAGAAAAGAAGTTAAAAAGAAGTATTTCCTCCACTGGTGTGAAGAAATGTTCTATGTTCAACTACCTCAGCTCCAGCTTGTTGAATTCTTCAACCAAACATTGAGAGCCCTTCTGAGAAGGCAGAAGACCTGTCAATTAGCACGCATTTAATGAAATACAGAAAGCAGCGCGCTTTCCACCCGAGGACAAAGTCTTCGCATTGGTGGTGCAAGTGCAGCCCTGACTGTGCTCGCAGAGCGCAGCTCTGGATGCCACACTGCTGCTGATTTTGCTCCCTGGGATGGGTCTGCCTGCCCAGTTACTGCCACGGTTACTAGCACAGTGTCACGCGTAAAAGGGACATATGGCGGGTCACCGCTACGCTACCCTGCCTTGGCATGGAGAGGGGTGCGCACCCGTGGTGCTAAGGCTGAGGTCCTGAAGAGGAAGCCCGCATCCAGACTGTAAGAAAAGAGAACAGGAATGCAGAACTTACAAATAAATGGATATTTAAGGTACCAGACTGAATCCCTTAATTTCCCAGCCCAACAAAAGGACTAGGAGGGCTTTGGAGGGAGCATGCTTTTCCTTGGGGAAAGAGAAAGACCATTATGTCACCAGGAAGTGCAGGAGGCCTCTGAGGAGTACCTCGCCCCTTTCTCCACTAAGAGCTTGAGGGGATTTCAGTCCTCTCGAAATTTCACAAATGATCTCAGTGCCCAGACACTTCTATTCTCCATGAGGGAAAGGGTACAAGCAGAGGTCATATGAATGTGCAAGGACAAAATGAGTCCATCCCTACATGCAGCTCTGTCCCACCCTCTGAGATCTTGTGCTGGTCACAGGCATCCCCTTCCCACAGAAGCTGTTCTGTGCTACATCCCAGGCCTGACAAATTCAGTAAATGCACTGTTTGCTCTCCAGTGGTCCTTCCTTGCCCAGGCCTTTGCCAGCTCCTCTCGCTCACTCACAGCACATTGCTGCTGTAGTGTCTCCATCTGTAGAGATATTCAGAAGTTGCCTGGACAAAGTGCTGGGTGGCCCTGCTTCAGCACGGGGGTTGGACCAGGTGACCTCCAGTGGTCTCCGCCAACCTCAGTTATACTCTGATTCTGTGAAACTGTCCTGTTTCTCCTCTCACACACCAAAGTTGCTAAAATGATTGGCAAACTACTGGCCCTGAGGGCAAACCTCGGGAGATGAGCTCAACAAATGCTTGAGACTCACTGTAGAAGAAGGTGCCCTTCCACACTATTTGGAATACCTACACTTAAGCTGCTATCGCACACACCAAGTTAACTAATTCTTGTTCTGTCACACTGGATCTAGAGTGATGGTTTCCCCCAGCCAAAGAATAGTGCTTGGATTGGCTTCTTCAAATGAAGCTGGTAGATTGAATTTTTAAAAAACTAATTTTTGCATTCCTCTGCTACACATGCGTATTCTCTACGAATGCAACTGTGAGGCCCTGAGGACCATGGCCTGCTGGATAAGGGGCTGTTTCACTGGGAGCACTGCATTCCAGCACAGCTGACAGGAGCCCTCCTCCTGCTCCCAAAGCTCTCACGTTCTCTTAGGCCAACTTCTTTTGCAGCTGTGTGGTGACAGAGGGAAGCATCCAGCTGAAAGGCTACCAAATTTTTGCTGGACTAACTTCCAACTGTATCCTTTTTGCTATCCAGTTCACCACATGGCTACAGAATCATGTACCCTGTCACAAAGCAGTGGTTTTTCTGCAAAAGGACAGAGATTACTTCTGGGCTTTGGATTCAGGTGTGGCCTACTCAGCTCCTGCTGAACAAGAGTCTAAAGGTACAGTTGTAATATGGATAGTAAGAAGCAGTGGAAAGGAAAAATCTCCTGAAGAAAGCATTCATTGTCCAGTGGTAGCTCAGACTCATTAGCCTTAGTACAACTACTACCAGGGCAGGACAAGACTGCAAGGAGGTACATTCATCATGGCATCTCCGCAAGACCAAGCAAGGAGACCCATTTTGCATTCACCACTGGATCACAAATGGAAGCATGGAGAATCAGGCCCTATGTGGTACTGATCGGATTAAGAACATGGGGTGTAGGTGCACATATTATGTGAATTAAAAATAAGTATTATAAAAAGAAACATACCTTGGAATTAAAGATAACATACTTTGGCTTACACATATGTTCATGTGCTGAGCTATTTGATAGGATAGATGTTGCATTTAGCTCTGGTACACCACAGGAAATTTGAAACTTCTTGTAAATAACCTAGAATAAGAACAGAAGATAGCTAATTGCTAAAATAACAATAAAAAGCAAATTAAAATAAAAATATCAATGAAATTGTGAGCATCCTGGCTTGTATCATAAATAGTGTCGCCAGCAGGACTAGGGAAGTGATCATTCCCCTGTACTTGACAACGACCAGGCCACATCTTGAGTACTGTGTCCAGTTCTCGGCTCCTCACTACAAAAAAGACGCTGAGGTGCTGAAGTGAGTCCAGAGAAGGACAAAGGCGGTGAAGGGTCTGGAGAGTAAGTCATATGAGAAGCTGCTGTGGTTATTTAGCCTGAAGAAAAAAAAGGAGGCTCAGAGGAGACCTTATCACTCTACAACTACCTGAAAGGAGGTTGTAGGAGGTCGGTGTCAGTCTCTTTTCCCAGGTAACAACTGACAGGACGAGAAGAAATAGCCCCAGGTTGCACCAGGGGAGTTTTAGATAGGATATTAGGACATTCTTTTTTCATGAAAAGGGTTGTAAAGTATTGGAAAAGAGTGCCCAGGAAAGTGGTGGAGTCACCACTCCTACAAGTGTTCAAAAAATGTGTGGCTATTTCACTTGAGGACATGGTTTAGTGGTGAACTTGTTGCACTAGGTTGACAGTTGGACTTGATGGTTTTAAAGGTCTTTTCCAACCTTAATGACTCTATGGTTCTAAGGGACTCATCCAACAAACAAAGCAAGCTGAACTTACCACCACCAGGAAAAATACCATGCAGCTTAATGAAAATCCACTGGTATAGCCAAGATATCCTGAAAGAAATTAAAAGGAGATCTTATACAAAATAATTTTATTAGTCTTATCTTGAATTTTACTTCCTTTTGCTTCTTCATGAAAAGTTCAAATGTATGATACATTTATTATGCATTTGAGCTTCTGGGCAGGACAAAAACATGTCCTGTTGGTATGGAAGTCTCCCATTTGGGAATCTCCCACATAACAAATCTCCTAGCTTTCGGTCAGGCCTGAGCCTTGCTCTGACCCATTTGACTTCCTCAGGCTTACGTGCACATCAGTTTAACTGATTTTACTTTTGAAAGAGGTTGTGACAATTGAAAAATACATGAAAGTGTGCAATTGCAATCAGAATGTGACATAGATACCCTGATACAAGTCAAATCAGCTGAGTTTGGGTTATTTTCTCAAAAGGAAGATCCCAACTGGACTTTGATGACAAAGTCATCAAACCATTACATGGTTTTATAAAAATACATTGTGTACCTACTAGCATCTCTGTGGATTCAAACACTTTTGAAAATGCAATTCTCTGTATGAATCTTACTTCAAACTCCAATACATCATCACTAAAAATTTTGATGCTTATAGAAAAGTAACTTATTTTTTGTCAGCGTGGCCGTCAGTGGCATGATGCCCAAAATGGCATTTTCATCTTACCTAAATTCTTAAGGAGACACAAAGGGAGGATTATGCCAAATGTCACTATGACAACAAGAATCCGTCCATCCACGTACCATGCCCTGCATAAAACATTTAAAAAACCATACCATGAGCACACCTTAAACACTCTCTGCCTTTCCCTTCATTCAGTCACCCTTTTTAACTACTGTACTTACAGAACTATCTTTGGTCTTCTTACCCTACAAGCTCCTACAAAAGGAGAGAAGGGTTCACATCTCGACTTTGCAGACTCTTAAATTATCCAGCCCTTGAAACAAGGCACTGGTCTGACTCAGGTATAGTAGATTTTCATAGTCACTAGTCAAAATATCACCCTACTGCTGGGATCAGTAAGTGGGACCGAGAGGCAGAACAACCACCTGTGTAACCTGGTATAAGCCACCCTGCCAGGACAACGAAACATGGTGCAAAGGGTCACACATACAGCGCAGTGGAGCAGGGAGGGGCACCACAATTCTTTTGGGAAACCACCCAGGCATTTGACTGGAGTGGCAAACAAGGCTCCTGCGGGCTGGCATGCACTGGCCAGTCTAAGTCTGTATCTCCTCTAGCAAAGTGCTTTGAATACTGCTGGAAAGCAAGAGAGAGGAGAAGGGACAGTGTCAGTGATGTTCTGTATGACCTATTTCCACTGCTTGGTCCAATTCAGTATGATATCCTGAGGAGGAATGAAATTTATACCACTTTCTTGTGCACTACAGCACACCATATAACCTAGAGTGAGGGATATTTACCACTATAAAAAATGCCCCCCCCTCTATTAAAGAAACTGGTAAATTCAAGGAATGATAAGTGGTAGAAATCTAAGTACAATATTCTGCAGTTGTCATATGCTAATACTGAAGAATTTCACACTAGGGACAGTGTTCCAGGGGCAAAAATTCTGCAAGAGGCTGAGAATGCAGGGAAACACATAACATCTTTAACTTGCATTCCTCTCAATATTTTCAAGTGTTGCCTAACAGCGTAAATTATTGGATTCTATGATAAGATGGTTTTTTTCCCACCATTCTACCTTGAAAGGAGGCTAAACACGCTAGAGGGATTGATATAAAATGGGGCAGCAGGTTTGGTATGTAAACATTAGGTTACAGCATGTGGGAAAGTACAGCTACAGTAAAATCTACCTTCACTACACAACTACTTCTAAAATCTACAAAAATTAAAAATTCCAAAAATGCTCTGAGGCATCAGTAGAAATCACCATTCTTCATGAAAATATAGCGTGCAAAAACAGCAACTAACTTTCACTTCCTATCCATCTTCTTTTCCTTTCCAAAATCATCTTGGCTTTTATGAACCCCCTGAGAGACTCCTGTGAAACTCTACTTTGACAAACCTAAAGGGTATCCAATCCTTAAGAGCTTTTGTAAACATATGCTTAAACTTAACTACACAATGTTAAATTCTACTGTCTAAGCAACAAAATTAATTCAACTTACGAAAAGGTTTCTTCTTTTCCCATTAGAAACTTTATGGCGGAAGGCAGCTCATTTTTGACTATGAAGAGATAGCTCAACATTGCTGGAAGAAGAAGAAAATCAGTTTAGAAAATGGATAAAGTATTTTGTGGAACAAGTACAGAGAAGCATCCTGAACCTTCTCCCACAGTGGTGTCTGATGATGGAAGACCCTGAACTGTGACTGACTGTAAAATTACAGCATTTTTAAAAGGCTGCATGCAAAGCATTGGCCACAGCTATCTTGAGCATCATGAAGATCCCAAGATGTCGTGGGGAGAAGGAGGAACCTGACTTGTTGGTAGACGTAACATTATTGAGATATTCCTGCACTTTGTTTTCTAATATTCCTCATTTCCTTTACCTCCAACATTCTGAAGAGATGTAGAGCCAAAGACAATCATTTTGCCTGGGGTACCAAAGACCTGCTCACCAAGCTTTTCATACACCATGCACCCTGCATGAAAAGAAAAGAGGTGAAAGGTAACAAATACACAATTGAAAGCTGTTGAGTTGAAACATGATTCCTTTTCAGCTAACCAGCCATCTGTGCAGCCAAAACTGGCCTTTGCAAGTAAATAGGGAGCTCTCTTGTAATTTCTAGGGCTAAAACTTATGTAACTTATGTTTTCTTGACTTCTATAAATGTTATCGTTGGCTACCAGTCACTTTTGAAATAGAAGCCCTTAATGAGACTACTGTACTCCTTTAATGAGTCTGTATGTACCTCTAGTGACATGTTAACTTCTGGTATCCCCATCCTGGCATAAATTGGTGCCTGCAATGAGAATGACATAGAAAGCCTCCTCTCCAGACAAAACCCAGTACAGTAGGACCTACAAGTCAGCACTGGCAGCCTGGCCATTGCAGGCACAGTACTGCCATTCTGCAATTCCGCTTGCTTTCCCTGAAGGATCCAAATGAGGACAGCCACCTTTAACAGGATCATTTACAACTTCTAATGACAAAGCCCTAACTTGTGAATTCTCAGTGTGATATATTTTTGGTAAAAATGGAGAAAGATGAAAATTATAACTAAGATTTCTTTTTAAGTAACTGTCAAGCTTAAGAAACTCCCCTATTTTGGTTTGTGTTTCTGTTAAATGGTTTTTTACCTTGTCTGTGAATTAGGCTGAGAAAAAGACTGGGCATTGTGAAGATCATGAGATACATGAGAACCAAAAGAAAAATACTGCAGATGTTACACTGGGCAGATGATTTTTAAAATGCATTCCATTGTTTGGTTTTCTCTATGTTTCCTTATAGCTAGCATTTCTGCTTTGAAGCTTGTATAAAAAATAAGTTTGAGCTTAAATGTACCAGGAACATAGAAAACAGGGCTTAGATTTTGGGAACTAATACGGCACAAATGTGTCCATATTGAGGCACATGTACCTAGTTTAAACAGGCAGTTGCTGATATTATACATGCTAGAACAGTAACTCATGTGTGATCAAATAGCATATTTAAATATTACAGTGTTCTTGTACACAGATAATTTAAAAAATATGGCTTCAGAGATTGTTTACAAGGAAAGAGACTCTTGGACTTCAGAGCACAGTGACATTTAACACTGTAGGAAACTTCTAAATTCTGTGTTTAGATAGTGTATCTGTGTTACAAATGCACTTCTCTCTGTGAAAGAACTGTTCCCTTTTATTTTATTCTAGGAAAACTACTACTATACCACAGAGGCTATCAGGAATTTCACACCAACCATTAAGGACAAATTGTATTTTCATGTATTCCTCATCATAGGCGAAGGTTCACTATGTTTCACTTGCAATTCACTTTGTAATGCAAAGAAACTGTATGAGCTGTTACTTCTAGCTCACTGAAGACAACATTTCCAGGCAAAAGAATTCACTCTTTGTCATAAGTTTTTTTCTTTATAATGATGCTCTTCTGCATTGCCATGACATAAATTCTTGTTAATTCTGGGCTTTTGACCCAAAATGTGTCAGGCCTTCCTATCGTGCCAGCAGAGTGACAGAAACTCCACCTTACACAAAGCACCTGGCTTCATCTGAACACTTTTCACCTCTTGGTTTTTATAATTCTACTGAAATGGTAAAACATCTTAGATTACCTGTTTCCTTTGAACACACCAACAGGAGATGTATTGAATAAATAGACAGCAGCGTGACTGAAATCAAAAGCAGCCTATAAAAGAATGGAAAATAAAGCTTACCATAAGAGATGAAGTCTAACATTGCAATATTTCATGTCAGGTCATATTCAGACTGACTCTGAGACCATATTTTGTCCTTCTGACCATGCAAAAAGCCCTAAAATACATGTGATTCACATGCTGTTTGCAGTTCCACCATGGAGGTAGAAGACCCCACTTGCAGAGGGATTCAAGCAAATAAAACTGAGCAGAGCCGTAGAGTACAGCTAAGTGAGTTACACCTCCCCATATTGAAAAAAGCAAGAATAAAGACGTCTTATCAGATAGGAATCAGAGCACATGTGAGCCATGTATGTCACTCAACAACCATTCTAAACCTTTTTATTCTGGAAGCAGAGTAAAAATTTTGATGAAAGTCCCGTATTTAAGGACTTCCATACCAAATGGAAGCATCTTTCCCCAGGACACGCTTCATATGTTACCATCAAAGGGTAACATGCCCAAACTGCTTTTTATGGGTCTCACAGTGCCCAATAAAGGGGAAGTTAAGGCTCGACTGCCCTCCCTTGGAATAAAGGCAGCAACCAAAAGTTTATACTTTGTCCAGGTGGAGACTCATCTTCCCTCACTGATGTCAGCCCTGGTCTGACATGATCCATAATTTAACTTCACACAGAAGAATTGCAGGAAGTAGTGACCAAACTGTTTGTGTAGGGAACTTGCTGGCACAAATGATAATTAGTCACTGCTGGGGGCTAAGTGCATAAAAGCACATTTTCTCATTGCTCAATGTCTTTAAGTCAAGCACCATGTGTGTCTTCCTCTCCAACACTGACACACAAAGACCTGATGATGTTTTCATGATGTGTGTGAAAAGCATTCAGACAATCTGTTGGCAATTCCTCTCTTTATTATGACAACTACCCTCCGGACATCGAGAAAAACAACACTAAAATTGAACAGAAAACAAGCTGCTGCCATAGATAGGCAGTAACACATCTTTCTCATATGAATATGTAGAAAGAACAAGATGAGAAGCCTTTTGCCCCCACTTTTTTATTAGTTTAGACTGGAAATACTTTACTGCCAAATAATGACCCACAAGTTCCCTGGAGCCAGAGGAGCAGGGAGAAACATAAAGAGGTGATAGAGGGAACTGTTCTTCTGCCAAGAAAGAATGATGGTTGACAATAACAACACACTCTTTGTACAGCCCCAAGCGTGTTTCTCCTTGAGAAGGTGGAGAAGGGAAGGGAGATTGTACTGGCTGAGGTCACTCTGCTCCATTTTTTACAGATTTGCTAAGCCCTCCTCCTGCCCGTGTTCCCTGCTGAGCTGTTCCGCCCCTGTCTGCCTGCAGACACTGCGCTCAGCCCCTGTGCTCAGCTGCTGGGGCTGACTCACTCCCAGCCCCAAATGGCTCCAGCTCTGCATGCCAGCATCCAGCCTGTCTTAATATTAAAAGCTCCTGTTTTTCAGGCACTGAGCTCACAGAGCCTTTGCAGCGGAAAAAATAACACTCCCAAGCAGCCAGGTATTTATCTGATCTGTTGTCCTTAGCTCCCCATAGGGTTCTTACAGACACTTGGCATTTTTATTAGCACTGTATGAAAAACTTGTTTGTGTTAGGACTGTGGTATGGACAGGAATATTCATGCCAGAACCACCCCTTGGAAAGGAATGAAAATGTCCATGCCACTTGCTCTGCACAAATTCAAAACAGAAGGAGGGAAGCTTGCGCTACAGTCCCAAAAGCACTCCCCTACTCTTTGTTTTGCCTGCTTTTAAAGAAGTGCTGGTAGCTGTGCGAGCAAACGGCAGATGCAAAAGTCACTTTCCCACAAAAGAATAAACATTTTAGGTCAGAGGACTGATACAGTGTTGGGAAGAACAAACTGTTCCTGTGATGCCACTGCTGCTTTCTCCCAGATACCACCATTTACCAGGTCAGCTGAATCCTATGCTGTCCCCAGCCCATTGTGAAATCCCAGGCTTTGGGGCTAGGAGAGCTGTGAGGCTCATGCAGTCACCTGAATTATTTCACAGAGCAGTTCTGAACCCTCATAAGGTACTGGGTGCAGAGGACAAAAGAGCATGAGGTTTTTGCTACCTTACAGTCTCCTAGAGGGCTGGTCTGCCAGCTGCCCTAAACCTCTGGAGGAGTTAGGCTGCAGCTTCATGAGTTCTTCCAGCCAAAACTAGCAGCACTGGCTGCAGGAAACAGTGTGAAACTTCAGCTTAGTCTCAATCTATACCTCATCTAACAAGCTCCTCTGCCTCAACAGGGTTTTTCAGATGATGTATATTGCTGGGCTAAATGCAGGCGGAAGGCACCTTGTGCATGGCTGGCCCACATGTCTCAGCAACATCATCCATGACTCTTGGACCTGGCTTTCCAGGATGAAATCACAAGCAGCAACAACTGCTCTTGCCATTCCTAGGTGGCCTGGCTCACCTCTAACTTCCAAAACTTTTTGGGCCATCTTTTGGCAGCAAACTTTTCTCTCCTTTTGCATACAGGAAATTATGTTCTCTTTTGGTCTAGGCTGTAGTTATCACCAACACTGGGATTAAGTTCCTCTGAGTTCCTACCTCAGTAGTTTTGCCTAGAAACTATGATGCTTTGTTATGGCACTAAGTTATGCAAATAGGATGTGTCATTGCCATGTTTATTTCGCATGTTTTATGCTAAGGATATTAGGATACGAAGTGATCCAGGTGATCATGGATGTGTGCACTTCATACTGCAGGAGCCCAAAAGCTGTGAGAGTGGAAATCAGGGTCTGCTTTGTCAGTGCTGAAAATTCTCCCTTAATTTTTCTGCCTCTGCTTTCTATTTTTCACAATGGTGCATGCCAATACTGGATAAATTTTCAGGAACTGTGCTACTCAGAAGCACTGAATTTAAGAGCTTTCTCATGTGTAAAAAGCAGAGAAAGCAGAAATGATCAACTGTGACAGCAACAGCAGAACTACAAATTTATGGGAAAAATGTATGGAATGAGAGTGTAAGAAAAAATCTAACACTAATAGACTAGGTTTAACTCTAAGATTATTGTATGATAAAAGAACATTTAAAGCAGTTCAACTTTCAAGCATAACTACAGACACCATGTTAGGATCACGCATCTCCAGGCTTCAAAGGGGAAAGCTCAGCTAGCCTGCTCAGTTAGGTCCTGCTAGCTTCCTTACCTGTGATCTCAGTTGGCTGCTATATCTCAAGGCCAACAGATCTAAAGGCATTATAAATCTAACAAAACCAATTATCCACTTTTGAACACACACAGTTAATTCCACAGAGAATAATGCTGTTATTTACTATATAGAATCTCTACATTCAGTTTGGCAGTTTTTTGCACAGTGTGTTGATACAGATCTACATACTCACTACTCGGGTTGAACTCAATCACCATCACACATTGTTAGAAGTTTCTCTGGTGTTCACATTACCAGTCTGATCTACTTCACTTAAAAGAAACTGCCTTTTTATATCCTTTAGAACAACACATTTCACTGAACTCTGATGAAAAACTGCTGAAAGAATGAGAAGATGAGCTTATAGAAAACTAAAGCAGTATGGAGAAAATGAGGCTGTTCCTTGGCTGAGACACTATCATCACAGAAGAGGTAACAAGGCTGAAAAGACATAACTTTTTTTTCTCTCCTTACAGCAGTTTTTGCAATCATCAGTTTGTACCCACAGAGATGTACTTATCAGAGCATGGGTGGACTATCATATACAGGCTAGAGTACTGAGTAAAAAATGTAGCAAAAATAAAATAAACTGAGTCACCCTGCTAAAGAAAGATGTAAACTACAATTCAGATATTTTACAGCCTAGCTTAGTGACAACACAGTTATGAGACTTCATATATTCTTAATGTAAATGGTTTAAATCCTTGGATTATTTCTAGATTTTACCCAACCATAGCAAACTGTAAGCTAGCAGCATGGATCTAGCTATTCTGGCACAAAACCTCAGAGCAGATGGCTATACATACCACTTTGGCCATCAATGCTGCTTTATACAGGGCTCACATTATATACTAAGAAATGACAAAGTTCTATATTTTTAGATTCGACATTCAAGAAATGACACCTCTTTAGAACAATCTGTAAACTCAGTAACCCTGTTGAACAGTTCTCAAATATTGTAAATTATTGTATTTCTCCCCTCAATGAACATTTATCATTGAAATCTGCACACAATTCCCAACTGGTTTCTTAACAATCACTTTTCACAATAAAACGTCTCATATTGAGATCCAAAATAACAGTGTCTTAGTCATTCAATGGTACTGTTTCATTTTTAAACTATTTAATTCTCCTTTATAAAAAACCTTTTTTTTCCCTGGTTAAGTACTCTGCCTCAACTCTTCTCCACAGTAAAATCTTGGTTATATTTATGTTGGCTCTCAAGTACTCACATAAAAAGTGAAGTAACCGTGGGAATGAGATGAAAATCCTATATGTAACTTATAATGGAATATAAATATTCTTGTTTTTTAAAAAAGTGTTTATTGCACCATACTTTGAAGAAAGCTCTGGAGATCCTGTGACGTAAGTAAGAACTAGGTACTAGCCCACTGAAGCTATTACTACTGAGTATTTCTAATGTATGCATAGCTTCCAGAGCATAGGAAAAATCCCCATCTAGGTCTGTAGTAAATAATATGGAGTTAATTTTCCCTAGCATTACAAGTAATGGCTTCTTCCTCAGAAATATTGGACTGAAAAAAAAATGTCTGAAACTTGTAGCTAATATTTTCAGGCTTGAATGCTGTACTTCATTACAGATGGACTATAAATCCCTCCACTTGCTGGCAGTGCACATATTCTTTAAACACAGTGAAACACCACAGAGATCAGCTATTCATCATGTGAATACTTACAGAAAAAGGAGAATTCCCGTATTGGCCAAGGCAAAAGCAAGACCCAAAATCCCACTGCCCATAATTGCATTGCTAAGGTTGAAGACAGACATCCCCAATGAAGTAGTTCCTGGGATCTGGGGAAGTAAAGACAGATGTGTCAGCAACAGCTTGAAACAGAGCAGGGAAACGCACCTCTGCTTCGAATGCCACGTTTTGCCATGTATCAGATATAAGTAACAACTCCTATGGAAACTACTTAATAAAAATTGTTTTGAAAGAGGAGAAAGCATTGCTGAACCCTGTCAGAGCTGTCCAATAGATTTTGTAAACTGACGTAAATGCTATAGGCAATACACAACTCATTCACAATTTTGATTTTAAACTTCATCTTTCACTATGCCTGTGAAACATCTAAGGCACATAATTTATATATGGTAGAGCCATAAGGAACCACCACAACTTCCTGCCCAACACAGGCCAGAGGGATTCCCTTGACTCAACCCAACCAAAATGCTTGGGGGTTTGTTTTGGGGTTTTATTTAAGTGCTGATCCCAGGCATTTCCTAGTGAAACTTGAATACAGTTATAATTGTGTGTGCCCAGCATTTTTGAAGATGATATCTAAAGGCCCTTCATTACACAATATGCAGTTCCTTTTGACAGGGAAAAGAACAGTGAGAGAGACTTACATATTCATCACATTTCTTCTTCTCCAGGTGGCTGTTTGTGAGACTTCTTCTACTTTCTCGATCTGAAATAAACTTGCTGAAAGAAGTCAGAGGATTTATTTCTAGCAAGTGCTTAGAAAATGTGAACACATTAATTCCATGAGCAGCATGTGATTACAAAATAAGCAACGCATAAAAACTGTGTGCAAAAAGAGGCCAAACTCATAACAGATTATGCCCCACTAATACAGTGTATATTAGGCATCAGTAAAGGTAACACCAGCACAAGATCAGAATAAATATGTGTGTATATATTTTTATATATATATATATATATAAAAATATATACACAGAATGGTCTTTTAGGTGATTTAGTAAAAAAGTAGCAGCACCAATTTTTTGGATGGGAAAGCAATTTGTTTGCACAGATGCTAAGAGGAGATGCTTCTCCAGGTGTCCTGCAGAGATGCTCATGAGGAGTACCCACTGTTCCCAGCCCTGTTCATGGGGTTAGTGTAACTAACGCCACTCTGTAAGGCAAGTAGCCATTCTATGTGACCAAGCATGTCATGTATTCATTCCTTTCTCCCATTATCGCACCCTGAAGGTCCTGTGAAGCAAGTAGACAAACTAAACAGATTTATTCTTCCCCTCCCTATCGACCTCAAGACTCCTGGGCGCCAGCTCAATTACTTCCTTCCTTGACAGCCTGGAAGGTCCCAGGCACCCAGCCCACCAGGAAGTGGCGATGACCCCTTCACAGAAGAGGGGAAGCACAACACCATCCCTAGTACTGACTATAAAATCAAGCAGTTAGAGGACCTAAGGGGAGAATTCGGGACTGCAGTTGCCACTGGCCAGGAACATCCCTCCGTCCTCTGCATCCTCCAAGGATTAAGGCAGTTATTTATACTCTTTTACATGATGTTTGTGCCTAGACTATGATTGTACACTGATAAAACAAATCAGGTATTAAGATTTGACCCCATCTGCTGAGGGTCTAGGTGATTATTAATCTTAAGTTATACTATAAATTCTGTATTATAAATACTTATAAATTGCACTACATTGATTCTGTCTGTTGAAATCCTGTGCCATTCAAATACTAAATTCTGCGCTACGCTAATCATAATACCCCACTAAAAAAATAAAGCTTTAATTGTAACTATGATTTACTGCCATCATCATTCTGCCAAGGATCCCTAAAAGACTCCATCTGTCCCCTCACTGTCGAGTGACACTGTGAAAGCCTACATTGCCACTGAAACTCTAAACTGCCACATAGGGATGGTATGTCTGCAGTTAAGCAGAGGTGGATGGGCCACACATAGTCAGCACTGCCTGGACCATCCTGAACCAGGTAACCTGCTTCATTGTTGCACTGTTCTGGGTTACCAGATTTTCAATTGAGTGTCTTTCAAAAGTCACTACTGAATTCATCATACTGCAAAATTCAACACTTCTGTGCAGGGAAACATGGAACAAACAGCTTTTCTTTCTCTTTACCCTTTACTTGTTTTGTGTCCTTGATGTATCCACATTTAGGAACTTACTGTCCTCCTGTGGTTGTGTCGGCATCCTTGGGATTTACAACACTTATGATTTGGATGAGCTGTTATTTTCTCACAGATCTTCTCTTTAGCAAACATTTTAGTTTGTATAAAGCATTCTTTCAGCTTTTCATCTTTTGAAGGTTTATGCACAATTAAGTCCCTGGCATCTTTGTTAATCCACAGATGGTTCTTAGTCTGCACTGGCTAATGCATCAGCCATTGTACATGCCACATACCTAACTAGGGGCTGTCACCAGCTGTCAGAGACTGTTTTAGCTGTAGGTACATTAAGCTGACTCTTCTTAGTTTAAAACAGACACCAACACTGGACACAAACAACAGCACTGCTGGTCCTTTCCCACAGCTGGGAACATCTACTGGTTGGGGATGTATAATTCTAACTGTGACTCAAGACTGCACATCATCTGAATACATACAGTGGTATTCAGGTGAGCTTGTAAAGACAGAGCTCTGTCAAACTTCCCTACTACCTCAGCTATGGCCTAATTACTACTGATATATATGCTAGCACAGCTTCTAAGGCTATGACAAAATCATGCAGGTATAATGCTGCTGAATTGGCTTCCACAGCTGACACACTTGGACCTAGTGTCTTAAACATTTTGTGTTCATGCTTTAAATCTGGGCATAGCTGGCAAAATGTATGTAGTATTTCTTCTGGGTTTGCTGCAATTTTGACTCCTACTCATTGGTCTGCTTTGATTTCCTTTACGTCAATAAAAAACAACTATAGGCTTCTCCTATACTTTTAAAATAGTAACTTCAGCAACTAATTTGCTGCAAAATATAGACACCATGTCAGATTTACCAGTGCTAACACAGTTGGAATAGATGGTTGAACCTCCCCCACTGTTTTTAGAAATGAAAAGCAATCACTTCTAAGATAAACTGATTGAAATTAACTTTCCAAAGCTCACCTTGTAGGTATTTCATCCTCATGGAATAAAATCTCAACTTGATTCAGAACATGTGCTTTTCTTTTTCATGTCTGTTTAAAGCTCATCTCTTGAACACAGGCAGCGGAGTGTGAACGGTTTGAAAAAGACATTCCAGCTCTCTCTTGAAACACCCTGCAGGCAATTTGTACAGGCAGGAGCACAGAGAAGAGCTTTATCTCTTTTGGATTTGTAACTGCTGCTGGGAACATCTGTGGACTTTGCCTTCTTCTGTCATTTATGGAGATCATGTGTCATTTTAGATTTTGTCAAGAGTTATGACAGAAGTCACTAGTCTGATCTCCCCACTTCTGCTCATCCCCCTGCAGCCAATCCCCCCTTAATAATTACAAAAATAACAAATTTGTAGATACTATTATTATTGCTGTCTGGTATCAGAATTCCATGAAAATTATTGTTAAAAAACTAATACACAGTAAAGACAACACTTGAGAAATATTGTTTGAATATAAAAACTACAGTGGGACTTTCCATTAGAATATTTCTGACAGGGTAAACAGCTTCTGCAAAACTGGTAACTTCTGTGGCCAACAAACATGTTATTTCCTTCCTGGTAAGACTTCGAGAAAACTAGCCTGATTTGATAAATTGATACAAAGTACTTTCTTTTGAGTTAGCTCTACATTAGAAATGGAGTGGGCTTGTTGTCCAGCCTCTCATCTCCTATTACAAGATGGGCTCCTCATCCACCCCCTGTTTACCAAATCACACTTCACATTTTTCTTCACTTAAGCAGTGCGATGTGTACAGGAGGGCAAAGTCAGACATGGGAATGTGGCTACTGTGCTCCCAGAACATGAGGTACACAGCACTGAGCCCAGCTTTTTTATGGGGTGCTTCCCAGGCCAACTTCCAGCTCCAGGATTGCTTTCCCAGAAAGTTCTTCAGTGATGCAGTGTGGGGGAATGTGGGGTCTGCCTGTGCAGCATTTGCTGTTGCAGGCAATTTAACCTGCAAGTCCAGACAAGAAGATTGTTTTGGGACAATGCTTGTGAGGTGGTACAGCCATACCACATAACAGACAAATTTTCCATAAACAGAAAGTATTACTGATCTTAAATTAAATAAAAATAATTTTTTTAAAAAAAGTGTGGGGGGAAGGTATTTTAATTAATTCAACAGAAACAATTTTTCCCAAGATAGTGCTTTTTGTAAACATTTTTTTTTTCATTTCAGAGTGGTTTTTTTCCCCTATAGCATATGAAAGGAAACATATGTTGGAATACTGGAATTTCTAGTTAAACTGTGCCATGCATCTGCTCTACTTAATAGACGTGCTTAGAAAACAAGCCATTCATTGTCACAGAATGTTGTATATTTGACCTTTAAAAATATGACACAAATTAAGCGAAATGCCTGTTTACGCCAGCCTCTCCCAGCCCTCCCAAAGACCAGAGGCCACTGTGAGAGGTGCTGTGGCAATGAGCTGCAGGACCGCCTGTGCCATCAAAGCCTGACAAGCATGAAATCCATTTGTGCTGTTTGTTGTCTTCATTTCAAATGCTTTACTCACTGTTAAAAGACATAACCTGTTTTTAAATGTTTCTGCTTTCCTCTTGTGTTTCCTATACCACAACTGAGTAAAAGCAGATATACAAAACTTTTCAGGTACATTAATGAAATATCCTAGTCAAGATATAATGAGCTCATCCTTGCAATGCATGAAGCCTCACAGTTGGCTTGGAAAGAGTATCTTAATCTAACCATTTTCCTGGTTTGATTTAGTGCAAAGTAGAGACTTAGTATTATTGATAAAGCGATTTTAAAAGGATGATGTTAAACTATGGCCTTCCAAACTTAATTTATTAAAGGACTTCAATAAAAAATGTTTGGTTAAGGTGATACCTTCAAGTTAACCATTTTGGCTAAGCAGAGTTAGCCAAAACCATTTAGCTATCTCAGATATGTTTAAACATAATTAAATTAAAATTATATTTGATGGTGCCTTAAACATTTGTTAGGGAAAGTTAGTTTTGCTAAGATGACAGAACTTTATCCTTAGGCAGCTTCTTAAACTGCATGCTAACTTGAGCAGTGGCAAAGATTTCCAGGGCAGGTTGGAACAAGAAATGCAGAAGAAAGCTTGGTCTGACTTAACTCTATGCAACTTGGACAAGATCTTGGTATACCTACTAACAACCTTTTTAACAAAACAAGGGGTGCTGATGACTTTTTAGTAGCTGTAAACCAAGACAGACATTCAGATATCAGCTTCCTGAAAGTATTCCACTGTTGTAGTTATAGATAAGGAGTAAGTCATCTAAATACTGATTTACAGTTATGTGCAGAGATGGTAAAATTTTATAGCCAGGAGACATGGTTAAAGATCACCAAATCCATGTCTGAATTTGATGCAAATCTCTTGACTGGCATTTCCATTCAACATCTGCATACTAAAAAAAAACCCTCTCAGTACAGCCTCTTCAAAACAACATCCCCTCCCTACGTACGACTGTATATTTATGCCTGGAAAAGGCTGGAAATCCAAAGGAAACTACAGAATTCTTTTCCAAGATCAAGAACTATTTGGAGTTTACAACCAGACTTGGAATCAGCTTCTTCCTGGTATACCTTCTCCAAAAGAGGTAAAACTTAAAAACTCTGTTCTACATTGAGCTTGAACAATTATGCAGTGAGAAAAAAAAAAGTTCAAAATTAAATACAGTATGCAAAGTCAAACAGGTTGAAACAACAAAAAGCAAGTTAGTTGAAAATTACAGATCTAATCTAAAGCTCAAGTGAAATCAACAAAAAAAGTCCCACTGATTTTGATGGACTTTGGAGTTTCACAAGGCCTCACACCATGTGCCAGGCAGCACAAAATGTGTTATTCCCTATGTCTGTTAACCTCTTACTCCATGGAAAAATGATGTTTGCCAAGACAGTTATAGAAAGGGAATAACTACATCCTCTCAGGATGCATTCAGCATGGGGTGCAGAACAGGATATGTTCCCCTGCTCATCACACATGGGGATGCTCACAGGGGTGCAACATGATGCTGCACTGGAAGTTGTGGTCAGCACAAGCTGCCTTGAAATTTGTTTTAGACACGGAGTAGAACATGAACAAACCAGGATATATAGGGCAAAATACTCATGTGTGGGATGTAAGTAGCTGTCCCACGAGAGCCCTGGCAGAGGGATAATAGAGAACCATAATGGGCTACATCATACAACCAAATGATTGTCTGCAGAAAAAAAAGTTACCCAGAAAGGAATGGAAAATTGTGGAATATGTTCATCTGCCCTAAGAGCCAGAGCATCAATCAGAAATTCTGCTTCTGAGTTTCTGACCCTCTTTCCTTCACCCCACTTTTCTTCTTCCTTTTGTAGGCAGTCTGAATTCAACACAGTTCTTGCCACGCTTACTACGTTGGAACTCCACAAAGCACATTGTGACTGTAAAGAATCAGGCACATATGGTACACTCCTTCCCCACCCTCCATAAATATTCACTGAAAGATGGAGTGCCAACAGGGTTTTCCCCCATAACAGTTACTGGTGACACCAGCCAAAGCACTGGGGAGGTGCAGTCAGCCTGGTAAAGCCACTCCTTCTCTCAAGGATATAAGTTCTCGGCAGGCTAAACAGAGCAAATTTACTACTGTCAGCCCATGAGTTCCTCTCCTTACAACATGAACCAGCAGGAAAGCAAGCAGGTTCATACTGGACCTGTTTTGTTTTGGCAAAATTGGAGTGGTTTTGTGTCGTGCTCTTCCCTTTTTTTTTTTTTTTTTTTTAACACAGAAGTGGTTTGCATTTTGTTTTGGCACTTTCCATCAAAGCAGTTGCATCAGAAAATTCCTGACCAGCTCTAATCTTCCTCAGTGCAGCTGTTGTGGTCACACCACCACACACCCTGCTGGCCACAGCCCCAGGACTTCCCCAGGGCAGGCGATGGTGGGGAGGCTGCCACCCTTCTACTGAGGGCTCACCCACACCACCAACCAGGGCCCTCTGCTCCATCCCACAGTATGGCTGCCTGGCTTTGCTACACCAATGGTATGACCAGTGCTGAGTGCTTATTCCCATACCCATCACCAAGCTCCCTGCCCACCCACGCAATTGTGAGAGTCACATGACTCTACCCGCACTTGGGAAAAAACAGCCCTAAGTTTTGTTTTAACAGAAGAAAGTGAGTTTCCCAGATAGCCAGAGAAGACACTGCCAAAAGAAAAAAAAAGGGCAAGAGAATATTTTACAGGGCTGGATCCCCATGCAGTTACTAGCCAGCCAGTGTGCTCCACCTGGGTTTGCAATATTTGAATAGGAAGTTTGGTCAAAAAAGAGCTTCCTGTTTTACAGCTCACAAAACCCAAACAGAGTCTGTCAGCAGGTCGTTGCTACAAACTGGTTGGCTCAGCACCTGTTGGAGTCTGACAGGAAGGGCTGGAGAAATACTCTCTGGTGGAAAAGGCAAGTCTTTGGAAATGACTGTACGGCTTATAGAAAAAGCCAACAGCCTAATAATTGTAACTAGCAAATTTCACCAGTATCCATGCTTTTGAAACTTGATATGAGTTAGGTGTAATACTCTGTTTTACCATCTTCTTGCCATTCCTGCCTGAAGGGAGCAAATTGCTGCCCAGTTTATCTTGCCAAATTGCAAACATAGACTGGGACTACATTTGCTGCCAATCATAGCAGCTGTAAATCTCCAGGAGCTTGGATGCATGGATGTAGCCAGGCAGGTTAAAATTGTCATATCAGGGATCAAAGGTCAAAAAGATTTGCCCCAAATTCTGACATTTTATTAATTGTTACTACTTCCTTGCTGTGTGCAAGCAGATATTTCAAAATGTTGGCTTTTTGCTACATTATGCGTTTGTGAATTTTATTAGACTAATTTGAAAGGTTCAAAACGATGAATAAATTGCCACTCTGTTTGCTTTATCTGCTATTGCAGCCTATGCCCAACAGATGTTACGTATGAAATTCAAATTACATCTTCAAATGGAGCATGACTTGGTAATGAATAATTCAAGACATATACTGAAAATTAGAATGCTGTTTTTAAACAGTGTGTTTCTTAGCAGAGGAAACGTCAGTGGAAAAATACTCACCTATTTATCTGGCCATTTTCCACCTCTGTGAAATCATTTGAATCATTGCTGATGTTATCATCTTCAGGGACAGTCATATTCTGCAATTCAGTCAGTTCTAATCCAGCTTTGAAAGGCATGCTGGGTGAGGAACTGTGCCTATCCAAGTGGTTCTTCAAATACTAGTGTTTGGTTGGTATGTTGTGAATAAACTGCAGCCACAGTGTCAGCAACCTAAATAAAACATGAGACAAAACTCTAAGTTGTATATCACCAGCAGCAGGAAATATCGCCAGAAGAAACCAGTGAAAACCGCACAGGAGGGACCATTCTTACCATGCAATTTTGTATTGTTAGATGGACCTCAGGTTATAACCTCAATGCAGAACAGTAGTAATCTTATACGCCTTAATGAGATCAACCGTACAAATTTACCCTGTCCTTCAACCAACAGCTGAAGACAGTACTTTATTTACAAACTTGTGAGCAAACCAAGCCTGTTTGTTACAGGAAAAAAAGATTAACTGCCTATATAATAAGGAATAAAAATTATTTGCTTGTCCAAGTCACATTTTGATATTTGGAGTTTGTCTTCTTTATGTTCTCCACTCTTATTTTAAAAATATAAAGCACATTGTGTCCATGTTGATGCTAAGTGGAGAGAAAGAGGGATAGAGTTATCCCACCACTCTGTGCTACTAATCTATATATTCCAAGACACTTTTGGTAAAGTGGATGTGTGGATGATGCTTTGTGTATGGTTAAACTTATAATGAACAAGGACAGAAGCAGACAAAACCAAATCCCTGAGCTCATGTATCATGGGAGAAAAGAGTAATGTATACCTTGTGTCAAGCAGTTATTGTCTAGGTGATCAGGTGAACTCTCCTCTGATAGATGTGTTGCATAAAAGCACCGAGAATAACACCAAAGGCAGATCAGAGAAGTCTACTACAATGACATATTTCCTTATCAGCAATGCAAATCAACTGAAAGACCAGTATCTGCTGGAGTCCAACCACTCTCAGCTGAGCTACAACTCCAGAATGGTAGGGAGGTAATAGTGTGTTATTCACAGACAAGCTCCTACAGCACAACTCTCTCAATTCCCATTTTGTGAATGAATTTCCTGCAGTACTGCCAAACAACTATTCACCTTGGGGTATGTGGCGAACACTCAGATGCCAGATTAATCTGGGAATATTTTTAAATTTCTCAGGGCTACCTCAAAGCCATCGAACTGGTTACATGCAACTAAAGAGGCATAAGCATCACCAGCTCTTGCAGGGTGAGACAGGAAGACGTAGTTCACTTATTCAGTTAGGACAGCTGCCTGTTTCAAATTAAGTTTACAGAAGTCAATACTTCTGTTTTATACCACATCTCCACCGCACAGAAGAGGACTTTGCAAATGAGCAGTTTCTTCCCTGTAAACACTTTCTCAGAAATGTAGTTTTAAAATTTACATGTGCTCTTAACAATTCCTCAAGGGCCCACCCTGTCTAAACTTCAGGTGCAAAGTTTAAAGGTTAGTCTCGAGGCTAACAGTAGAGCAAGATCTGTTCTTTTCCACTGAAAGAGCAACTAAGCACATGGTTATGGTGGCTGACAGGGCCTGGTACAGCCTGGTGTGAGGACAAAGCTTGGGGCATGTTAACTGAGTCCTTTTAAACTCCTCTACAGAAGAGATTTCCACCACAGACACCAGAAGAAAACTGCTTGGGTATTAAAATGTTGGCACAATAAAATATTTTCAAAATCATTGATTTAAGCTGCTGATAAATAAATGCAGACTGGCAAGCAGAGGGTAGCTTAAGCAGTGACATTCTGGAACAGTCTTCATGGAGACTGCAGGGATAAAATAGTCTACCTATTTTGGAAGAGAAGCACGATCTTTTTATAAAAGGATAAAGCCACAGGAGACGGCAACTGCTGAGATGGCAAGGACCAAGCCCACTGAATCCTAAAGCTTCTTGTGACCGTGAATTCCTAAAATAAACAATTCTTTAAGGGACCTGACAACCTCTGTACCAGGATCTGTATCCCCTGGCATTTAAAAACCTGTGTAATGTTCATCTGAGATTCAAACAGAGAAGATTCTCCTCTGGGCACCGTTTTGCATCATGGTGCCCCAGGAGGATTTTCAGAACTGCCTTGACATTGCCTGTGCTTAATAAATTCCCCATTAAGTGTTTCAAAAGCAGGTGCTGAAATTAGCACTCATGTGAGGTAAACAGCACACTGGAGAGCTGGCTGCACAGCTCACTGACGTGTGGCTCCGGCTTCAGGAGCTGCTGCTCTGGCCCTCTGTCACTGAAACACTGCAGGGCCAGAGCGGCAGGAGCATAGCTCACTGCTTCATCATAAGGAGTGACAAGCTTTGTCTGTTTTAACCAAAACTCTGCTTCTACAGAAAATTAATTGAATGAAGACTTCCACAAGGGCATGTAATGATAGGACAAGGAGGAATGGCTTAAAACTGAAAGAGAGCAGGTTTAGGTTAGGTATTAGGAAGAAATGCTTTACTGGGAGGACGGTGAGGCACTGGAACAAGTTGCCCAGAGAAGTTGTGGATGCCCCATCCCTGGAATTGTTCAAAGCCAGGTTGGATGGGGCTTTGAGCAACCTGGTGTAGTGGAAGGTGTCATTGCCTACGGCGGGGGGGTTGGAACAAGATCATCTTCAAGGTCCCTTTCAAACCAAACTATTCTATGATTCTATAAGATGGAGTGAAATCTTAGTGCAAGCTGAAGCATCAGCAATCATTTCAGCAGATTCCAGCTTTTAGGCAGATAAGTTGCTCTTAAAGCAGCACAACAGTCATCTTTGAATCTGCCTCAGGTTCTTGCTAGGGTGATTTACTAAAAAAACCACCAAAATAAAACCCTGAAACAAACAAACAAAAAAATTGAATGAAATAATGCACTGCACTTCCAAGTATGAGAAAACCTGATCTCAATGCCAAAACACGAGGAGGGTGAGGAGAGAGTGGTGGGGCTGGGGACTGAAATTTTCATTGTCATGGCATGAACTTATCACAGATCTTTTGCAAAGAAAAACTAACATGTCCTTAGCACCTCCATCTGTAAAATTAAGATGATAATAGCAACAATAACACTTAGTTTGTGAAGCTCTTAAAGATTCAGAGAGAAAGGGTGATTAATGTGATACCTGGAATAAAGCACTCTGCAAATCACAAAATTTTTGCCAAGATACAGTTATCTTAGAGATATACAGAGAAAACTCGTTGTCATTGCTAATCACTCTGGGTACCCTCCACAGTCAATGGAGTACAGGCGGTCATATAAATTTCCTCACTTCAAATTCACCCATGTGACATATCGCAGAGCCTAAATGAAATCTACAGTTCCAAAGGACAGTGTTCATGTCAACCAGCCTCATTCCCTGCAAGTCAAATGTCAGCTCCAGGCTTGTCATCTGGCCTCTACAGCAGAGCCTGGCACTGCTGAAGGACAGCTTACCCCAACCCACAGGAGGGGTCTGAAGTCTCACGGAGCTGTTCCCTACAATTGCAATAGCTTTGCTCCCCAAGGGAGATTCAGTGCTAGCATAGCTGAGCTAAGCAAGTTGCCACCTCAGGTGTAGGTGTCACTAATGCTGTGGGAAGAAAAACCCAAACTGTTTCAACTAATAGAAATTCATCGTATGTTGATACTGAGCTATACTGGAAGCAGCATATTTGTACTTTTACAGCCTTTCATTCAAGAAATGTCATAAAAGAAGAGCAAATAAAAATGCTATGTTGGCAAGAGTTCCTAAACTGAGCTTTATTCCTAATTCACATTGAAAGGCAGTAAATAATCATGTGAAGAGTGACTGCAGAAATCCCAGTCACTTCGGTCACTGTAGCTGCTACTCTGTCCATCCTTAAACCTCCCAAAAGGAGAACTTCAAGAGACCTGCCATCGAACCTCTCTCTCCAAACACACACAAAGTAAATCATAAAGAAGAAATTAGAATTTTGCTCTTATTTCAAACTTTTATACACAGATGGTCAACCACTGCTCCTTGAAGCAGGAATAACCCTAAGAGAAAACCAGGAAAGAGTTAATGACCCTTCACGAGGAACCTCGAGGGCCTTTGTTTGATAGCTGACCCAGCCCCTCTGTTTAGTAGAAAAAGCACTGCTCTGGCCTAGGAGCTTGGCTTCTCTTTAAACATTCCATGATGTGTCTTGTAAAACCCTCTATGGATAATTTATTTTGTGTGCTCCTTACAGAGTACGGAAATATTACAACTGACTTCAGGAGGACTATGTGATGACACAAGAAGATAAAATGAAAGTTTTTTTTTCAAGGACACTGAGACCTTCACAAGCCTTTAAAGCACATTCCAAGAACTGTAGCCATTTTCTCTGTTGCCTTCTGAAACATAAAAAAAAAAAAAATCCTTGCAACTCCAGTTTTCTGGACTGTTAAATTCCACAAGAGCAGTAATGGGATCAAAACCTTTGTATATGAAAAAAAATGTAATACAGACAATATATCTTTATTTCTTCAGCGGGTTCAAGCATGAATCCTTTCTGGGCCATACCTGCAAGAGGTGTATTCTCAGAAAACACTTTGCTGGAAGTTGTGTTTTAACGGTAACATCATCACTCTTGGTGGTAATGGTGATGGTTTAATTCACATGTCTTTTTTTTTTTTTCATATCTCATAAATGACATCATTCATAAAATGTCACCTTAAAGCATATGACTGCCCAAAAGCTGAACCAGTATGCAAGAGGCATTTGGGTAATTGGTCAAGTTGGACACCTAGCCCATCTCTGGATATGGTCTTTGTAATGTGCCCTTGCACACCCAAAGGGGAGCTTCATTCACTGTGTGCTTCCCACAGTCAGCCTTGGGATTTGTAAATATCCAAGACACACTAAGCACTTTTAACTACAAAATTCAAGCTAATTTGCTCAAAAGATGAAACGTGACTCAATTTCCTTCTCAAAGGGAGTTTTGCCAAGCTTTTGGTTGGTTACAAGTCATCAGAATCCAGCACTTGATTTTCACACAAGCTGGTTTTAGTCCTGCAAAGCCCAAGATGTGATACGTCTTTGCTCATACTTTTGAAACTTCTTTCAAACTAGAGCAATATGACCAATAAGACACCATGGATATAAACAATGAAACACTGAGCCTGAAACTCTGTGTACAGACTGTTCACTTAAACGAAAAAAAGCAAAAATACTTTATACGAAACAGTATCACGTTGGGAGGGAGGGAAGCAAATATCTCCTTTTTGTTCCGCATTAGTGACACCTGACATGAGGAACATAAAGCTCCAGATTTACTCCTCATCTACAGGAAGGACAAAATGGGGAGATTAGAGAAGAGCCACTGAGATAACAAAGAGCTTGGAAATTAAAGACTGACTCACATCCACTGAGCAAACAGCTGCAGTGCTTGAAATGTCATTGCCTCCAGCTCCTCAGCTCTGCCCCTCTGCAGCAGGCTGCAGCCACAGGAGCAGCGGAAGGAAGCAGGTTTACTCTGGTCCCGCGGTAGCCCAGCCCCAGTTGGGCTCAAGGAGCCACAGAGAACCGACAAGGTGCCAGCACACTGCTGTCCTGCCCATCGGACACAGCACCAGGCTGAAAGCAGTGCAGCAGCCGGAAGGCCTTCGAGCTGCTGCAGCTGTTTCCTTGGTGGCTGTAAATCACCACGTTTCATTTCCAGGCTCCTTCTCTCTCACACAGCTCCCACAGCATGCAGGATGGAAACAGTTAAAAGATAAGGTTGCAATAGAAGGGTTAACTTTGTTCATAAAATCTTATGTGTATGAGGGAATAAAAAATCTTTTGTTATAATTCAACAAGATAAGTTTCATAGACATCCTGTTAATCAAGTAAGTGTCAGTAAAATTAATTACAGACATCTTGCTAAACAAACAAGTATCAGTATCGGTGAAATTTACAACTGATAAGAACTACAGCTTTCATCTCTGACGAATCCCAGATGACCACTTAACAATGAGCCACGCACTGCAACCACAAGCAGATTTACATTCAAAACCCGGGACTTGAAAATGTATAAAAAGGGACATTTACTACATTTTAATGTGTGTCTCGGGTGGAGCGGACTAGCTCCCCAGACCACCCAGCACTGTCTTTGCTTTATTATCGCTTGCTTAATAAATATATCAATGTTTAATTGGAACTGAGTTGTCTAAATTCTTATACCAATTTATAACAAGGTGTGGGGGGGAAACAAATGACACAAGACTTGGGAAGGAAGTGGAAGGAAGCTCAGAAAAGGATGCTATACATCACTCAGAAGTGATGAGCACAAATGTGGATTGTCAACCTTTCTCTTGGTAGTGCATGACCTTGCGCTGCAACAGGAAAATGTTCCTGCTTTTCCCCAACGCTCTCCATACTGCCCTTCCATGCTGCCATAAAGAGAACACAGTCCCAAATTACGTCTCGACAGGCTACTCAGCTGATCAAAGGCAGGCAAATAAGAAACCATAAAATCCCAGTCTGATTCACCCAGTGATTCATTACTTTAGGCAAAACACTTAAAGATGAACCATAAAGGAAAATGGTTTTAAGTACATTTTTGTTTTGAGCCCTTCCCAGTCAATTTAGGAAAGGCATTTGGCAGAGGAATATAGTCACATTTTTTCCTAATTATATTTCTCTGTGAAATCCTCTCAACGGTCTTGGTTTTGAGAAGAGATCCCAGAACGCACTGCCACAAATAAACTCTTGTCTTCCACAGAAAGTGGAGATGCTATATGAGTGGGGCCTTACCGGGCACTGCAACAAAACAGACTACCCAGATGTATTTGTAAGGGTTAAACGGTAGCTTTGAAATTCCTATTTCAATCGATTTTGTACTACAAAGGAAGAACCCTTTGTATAAGTTCATATGTAACTCAGTTGCCTTCTGCCCCAGTTTCCAAGTAATTTCTCTACTTCAGTTTTGACTCTAAGAGACTCACAGTGATATTTATCTGATAAGCTTAGACAAATATTATGAGAGTTGACTGCAAAACATGAAAAAGCTGCCATTTTTCCCAAGAGTAGACACTCAGACTTCTTGGATTGGATTAAGGTCACAGCAGTAAATACCCATCAGAAAGGAATCCGAATTCAGGCTTAAAATATTTAAATATTCCCACAGCATTTCATTTGTCTTCACAATACAAACTTTTAAAGCTCTGGCTATTGTCATGCTACGTGCTACATGGATTTCTACAGAAACTGGCAGGCTGATAGAAAGACAGAGGAGAGTACAGAGGGAAGGAAAGTCCCATTTCTGCTCAGTCACCTCTTTTCCCCTGCCAAAAAAACCAAACACCCAAACCAGAAAACACAGACAAAATGTAGGACAGAGACCCAGGACAAGCAGCCTGCAAGCACAAAGGCTGAGAGAGCCCTGCCTCCCCTTCCATCCTCTAAAACCCTTGTAAAAAGCAGGATTTGGTCATGAAGGATAGTTGATCCTCTGTGTTTTACAGCAGTCTTCAAACAGCCTCAAACAACTCAGAGGATAATCCTCTGCACAGGTGTATGTGGAATGTGACGCTCACCGCCAACAACTGTCTCCCGTCCTCACCTGGGCTAGAAAGCCCAGTTGGTCCAACTACAGCATAAACAGTCTCAAGTGACAAGCCAGAGGATGCTGCAGTGTGCTTCAGTGAAGTGCTCTCTCTATGGTGCCGCTTAAAAAGAAAAAAAAAAAACCTTCCGAAAAGGCAAAGTCAAATAGGAGTCACTCAGTACGACTGTGAAGCAGATCCCATTTTAGTCAGTGAATTTCCATCAAGCCTCAGCAGAAGGCCTCTGCTTACCAGCAATATGGCAGTTCCTAGATTTCAGGCAGGTTTTGCAAGCAGATTTCACAGCCATTTCGGCAGGGGCTCCTAACCTGAAAAGGGCAGTTTTTGATATCTATATCCTTCAGCAACAGATGGAATTTCCTTTTAGAGGCTTTTAAAACAAAGTTGGTATTTTGGTAGCAAATGAAGTAAACGTGAGATGGAAGGATGCTGTTTCTTTCTCTCCCTGTAGCTGTTTTTACTTCTGATCTAAGCATGTTGGACTCAGAATGTAATTTTCTTGGTTTTTCTTTTTATTCCTGGAATGTATTTTATCAACTAACAAGTATCTTTTCCTAACACTTTACTTTTAGAACAATGGCTCTTCTATGTTCTTTTGCCTTTCAAGCACATGTAAAAGCCAGACAAACCTGAAGGTGAATGAAGCACCACAAAGCATAGGTTCCAATCTATAATTTGGACCAGACGTTGGTAGAAATGCCCCACAGGAGTCTGGGACGCTGAATAGCCTAAGGACATGTGGTGAGTTCGGCTGGTGGCACAAGCAGACTATATCTCAACTTCCATAAAGCCAGTTGTCAGATCCGGGGTTTATTTCAGTCCTTCCAATGTCACATAAACAAAGCACGGGTTTACACACCTCCTCATCTCCTCTTTCTCAAGGAGACAGACACATCCTAGCTACAGGTTGCATTACGAACTCTCTGCAAAACAATGGGACAAGCTCCCTGCCACAAGAGCGAGCTGGACGTACACACGTGTACCAGTGCACAACCGGGCATTCACACCGGCCCTTTTTTGTTCTCGTCTTTGCTCATTAAAAGCAACTACCTCAGCTGTTACTATGTATTTACGGGCCCCCACGCACACGCGTGCGCGCCTGCATTTTCCGAATACCGTAGAACTTGCACTGACCCCATAGCAGCGCTGGGTTTAAGGGAAAGGCAAGAACGTTCCACAGCCGGGCAGGGCTACACCGCGGCCGCGCACCGTGCGGGGGCTGCGGCACCCGCGGCCCGGCCGTCACCAGGGGCAAACTCATTTATTATTACTATTACTACTTTTTTTTTTTTTTTTCGCTGCAAGCGGAAGCTCGTAGTTGATGACTACCAGGTTTTTGTTCTATTTCTGCAGGGTTTTTGGTTGGTTTCTTTTCCATGCCCCTCTCAGCAGCTGGCTAGGGCAGCATCGCCCCCCCTCCTTCGGCCCGGCAACGCGCCCCAGCCGCGGGGAGATGCCGCATGGCCGGCCACAGCCCCCGTTCCCTCCCGCCCCGCCAGGCTCCCCCAGCCCCTCCCCGGCTCGCTGCGCGCATTTTTAGGGTTTGGAATGCGCAGCACCCGGGGGCGAGGAGGCACGTTTTGGGGGGGAGGAGGGAGATGCGCAGACGGCGGGGACAAAGCGCGGCGATCTCAGCGCTCCGGCCCGCGCGGCGCGGAGACAAAGGGTGCGCGGGGAGCCGCGGCCCCGTCCCCACGATTGCATCAGCTGCTGCCTACCTTCCCCAGGAGCTGCGGGGATCCCACGAGAAGCGATCCACCCTATCCACCGGGAGCCGGCTGGAGCACCGCGACAAATAATTACAGGGATAACAAGAAATTAAAATTGAAGGAAAAAAAAAAGAAGAAGAAGAAGAAAAAGAGGCGAGGATGCAAGGGAAATTAAACTGGCGAAACGAAGACGGCGAGGAACATACCGCTCCTCCTCCCGCCGCGGGTGTGTGCATGTGGAGGTGGGCGGGCTGGCGGGAGCGCGCCAGGCGCGCCGCCGCGCCGGGCCAGGGGCCGGGGCCGGGGCCGGGGCCGCGCCACCAGGTGCTGCGGGACGCGGGGACGCGGCCGGGCCTGCCCCGCGGGGCCGACGGTCGCACGTGGTCCGGGCAGGGGACCCACGGCGCTCCCCGGCACCCGCGGCTCTCCGGCCCCATGGATGCTCAGCACCTTTCTTTCATTTTTTTTTTTTTTTCTTTCTTTTTCTTTTTTTTAAATTTTTTACTCTTTTTACAACAGAAAATAATTTTTCCCTCTTCACGCCACGATTGCCCACAGGACAACCCCTCCTGGCAGGCAGGTCGGATTTCTGTGGTGTGTGAAATGGCTACGAGAGATCTGGCGTTATCTTGTAACACGATTTCCTGTTTCGTCATGCAAAATGTGTATGTTGAAAATGCTGCCATGCGTTCGAGAGGTCAGAGCATTTCCAACTGGGGCAAGACACCTTTCACAAATACAAGGGGGGATTTGATGCACAAGTGATTTGCTGTAGCTTGTTATTTCCATACTAATTTCTAGAAAGCATTGTATGAGCTTTTTGACTTGGAAAAAACTTTTTAAGAACAAACCTGAAGCAAGATGGCATTGCAACTGTCCTCAGTTTCACCCCACACAACACATGACTCGTGTGGGATATCACAAGGCAAAGAGTAAAAGGATGCTGGATCGTGTAGGTTTTGGGGGCAGTTTGCCTGGTTGCCCACAGTGGGGGAGAACGGCTGCTGGCAAGCTCTCGTGGTAACTCTTCTAGAAGCTTCCTGAGGTGTTTGCTCTGGAATTTCCACTAAATGTTGAAAATGTTGGGTATTCTAAATGTCAGGCTAAAAAGGCAGATGATACACGTTAAGAACTGTGTTTTTCAAATCATTGGATTTGCACGTACAAATTGGATTCCCATATTGGCGCTTCTGCCACATCTTTTTTTCAATAGGGCACTTCATAGAATAGTTTTTGTTGGAAAGATCTTTAAAGGTCATCTAGTCTAATGAACAATGAGCAATGATCAGGGATATCTTCAACTTGATCAGGTTGCTTGGAACCCTGTCCAACCTGACCTTGAATGTTTCCAGGGGTGGACCATCCACCACCTCTCTGGGCAACCTGTTCTAGTGTTTCACCACCCTCTTTGTAATTTCAGAATAAGGAAAAAAATATTTTCCCTTATATCTAATCAAAATTGACCCTCAGTTTAGAACCATCACCCCTTGTCCTACTGCAATAGGCCATGCTAAAAAGTTTGTTACTATTTTTCTTACAGGCCCTCTTTAGGTACTGTAAGACCACAATAAGGTCTCCTTGGACCCTTCTCTTCTCCAGGCTGAACAACAGCAATCTTTCAGCCTTTTCTCATAGAAAGGTGCTTCAACCACATGATCATCTTTGTGGCCCTCCTCTGGACCCTCTCTAACAATGTCTTTACTGTGCTGAGGACCCCAGAGTTCTGTGAATGTGAAACGTTGTGCAAACAGTAATTTAATTAACACCCATCCCGTTGCACCTTGCTAAGACAAGAACCTTATCATCCCAGCAGTAAGAGTGAAGCCCAAGGAAAAGCTAGCTGCCCAAGGGCGTTGAGCCAAGGGCTACTATTGCAACACTTCCTCATGTGAATAAACCTCTGAGTACTCACACCAGAATCATATGCAATCCCAGAGAAATTTCAGGCTGACAAAAGATGTGGGATCGGATTCCAAATTATAGGCTTGACTACCCATCCAGCTCTTCATGCAAGGCACCGTGCCCGAAAGCACAGAAGAAGGTATTTGCAGTTCATTCTGACTCGATTATATTATACATCTTGAACTGAAAATCAACCTCTGCCCCAGATTACTGAATAAAAGTGTGTGTTATATAGTGGATGTGGTCAGGTGGTATTGCTGTAGAGAATAAGAGGAAACTACTTTGTTTCTTTAAAACAGAACATTATCAGGCTATCAGGTGAATGATCATTGATTTGATGTGTTCTGCTACCAGCTTTCATTTTATAGCTGTAAAGGCAGAGTATTTGGTTCTTACCTTGGCATGCACATTCTTAGAATCAAGGCACTTAATTTTTATAGAATTTGAAAAAAAAAATCTTTTTAACATATCTTAATACAGTTCCACAAAATTCTTAGCACTTCTAAGAAATGGAAACTATTTTACTTTGCTCTTCTAGTATTTCAGATTTCTTCACTCTTCCTCTCAATATCTCTCTGATTTTTTATCACTGTTGGTTCTGTTTGCCTTGGTATACTGGGAAACCTTGATGCTTGTGGCACGCATCTTCGAGTTTTTTATGGTTTCTTGTAAATTTTTTTCAACAGATTTTTGTATCGTTCACTTACTGACCTTATTCATTCCTTCTGGGTCTTTATCCTTTTCACTCATAATCTCATTCCCATATCTGGTTTCAGATATACCAAAAAGATTCAGGAATTTTCCTTTATATTTGAGACCCATCATTTTTTTTTTCTCTTGCCCATCATGAAGTGGCAGTTCTCTTCTTGAATGCTTTTTAATGCACTTTTATCTAGTCAAAATAGATCCTCTTTTCTTTCCTCTGAAATAGCCCCGAGCCTTTCTCCACTTTGTTCAAACCTACAGCTTCCAAATATTCTTTAGACTATATTTTGCCAGCCTAAAATGAATCAACAGCCATATTCATTTTCAGAACTACCCTCTGAAGTGCAATGTTCTTACAGAGTCTGGAAAATTCCCTTCTGAACTGTCCTTCAAAAATTGATGCTTATTGACTAACTTTTACTGCCTAATGGAAACTGCTAGTATGCAATAAAAAATATACCTACATAGTAAAAGTGAGCTAAAATCAAGACACCAAATACTTCCTTGGTTTACTAAATTATCACGTGTGAGTATTTAGCAATTTTCTCCACACAGTTTCAGAATGCTGTTTGATTTGGGGTGCATTTCATTGCAAGTGGGACTTGATTGGCTTCTTTGTTGTCTTTTGCTTCCAAATTGCAGCAAAGCCTACCAGACATTCCAAGCACAATTCTTGCACCTGGCACAAAGCCGATGACAGAGCGTCATTAATTTTGTATGATTACCCATTTCAACTATTTTGCCCTCTGGCAAATGTATGGCTACAGCCCAGGGGAATGGAATTGGTTGCTGGAGTTGGAGGTGGATGTGCCTGGGGTGGGGGATTCACAGCTGATATGACAAAGCCTGACAGGTGGAGCTGGAGGTGCTTGCAGAGTTCTCTTCACCTCTATTTTAGTACATCCGTCAGTGGCATGCTTAAACTTACGTGCTAGTGATTGTGTGAAAGAGAGAAGAATAAAAGAGAACAGACCAGGAGTGAAAAGCCACCTTAAGGAGAAAAATCCTGTGTTTTGCAGAGAAGGTGCTTGCTGCCAGAAAGTGACCTTGAAACCTTTGTAATCTCTGACTGCCCTTCAAGAGTGGTCAAGAGTGATGAGGAGGCATAGGGTGTAGGCAGTGGCTATTTTTGCACCTCAGTACTATATCTAAATCAAGTTAAACTAAAATGCACATAGAATTTTGAGGCTGGTTTTTTTCATTGGTTTTGTGTTTTTGGAAAGAAGAATTTGTGTCCATTTGCTGCAGAGCCCATGAACTCAGGTTTCATAAGACAGCATCTAAACCACAGGATGCTCACAGTAGGAGTCAGTACCAGTCCTCTTAACGGAAGTAATTACACAGGGAGAGCCTTTTACCACTAAGGCTTCACAGAGACTCTGGACTCAAAAAGTGTTGCAGGTGTTCTGCAAGGATGAACAACGTACTGGTACCTACTTGGGCTGGGAGTGCCTCAAGCCCAAACCTACCATGGGGTGTGCTGAGGTGGATGTAGTCTTTCTGGGTGGTACAGCAAGCTATTGCACTGCACAGTGCAAATCTCTTCTTTGAAATAAAGTAAAAATTCCAACGAATATCTATGGTTTCTCTAGTCTGCCATTCCAGGATTTGCTAGCAAACAAAAAGAAAGGTTTCTTGGAAATCTATCACCATGTTAAAAGCCTTCTGTTGCTACAAGGGTCCCAATGTTGAATCTGTGAAATTAGCAGAGGAGGGTATTTTGCCTGGCAGCTGAGCAAGGGAGAACATCACTGACTACGATGCATAATGTACGATATGTACATGACTGGTCTTGCATGATACTCTGAAAAAAACTGCCCACGCTTGTCACAGATTTCGTGAACGCTGATAGCATCAACTGTGTTTAAACGTGTTCAGCCGCCTCCAACTCTGCATGTTGAGACAATCAGTTTTCCAGGGCTGCAAAATTTTGTATGCATGTCAGTGACTGTGTGACCATGAGATGTTATCATTTGTTAGTTTTCTGACCAAAGCATGGTATACAACTATGATGACTAATCCTGGTTTAATAGGAGTTGTCCTTTGCTCTTCCCCTTTAGATTCAGGAATTCACACAATAAACCAGGTAGCTGTGCTTTTCTTCTTACCTCCTGATCATCTGTTCTAACTCTTTTCTTTGGTCAGAACAAATGTTTTACTGGCATACAAAGGTTTCAAACTTCTTGCATGAGGTTAAGAAAACAGCAGTGACTAAAACAAAGAGATTTGCAATACAATAGGTGCCTGTAGTGATAGTAAAAGTTTCATTTAAACACACTTTAAAAGTTGGTGTAACAAAATTTTCTTCTGTCTACTTACTTTTAATGTGTTGTTTTTTGATTTCAATTTACAGTGCTATAGACCAAGTTATATGGTCTGAGTAGATCTTTCTGAAATGAGTAAACTTATACTTTGTGGTGACCAAGATGCTGAGTTGTGTTACTACACAAAGATGAGATCCTCTCTCCTTTTCCCCAGTAAAGGATACTTTTTGCAATTCCGTTTGTATAGATTAACTTCAAAGGCTTGCTCAGCATTTTGAGGGACAGTACCTGTTATGTCATGTTGCCAGAAATTGTCCATGCAAATTACAACTCCTAGTCCAACCATAAAAGGCATATCTATGGAGGATGGG